TTTGTGTCTAGTAACTTAGTGGAAATTTGAGTATAAAAGTAGATACTCTGGATTTTATGTACCAGCAGCCAGCTGCAAACTTATCTGGGAGTTACTGATAATTTTTGCTGTAGTTTTATCTGGTTGGCTAACCAAAAGCTAGCTTGGGGGCCATGTTATTCTAGGACTATCCAGTGAGATGATTTGTTTACAGCAGAAAGCAAATCCCACAGAGAGTGTTGGAGGAAGAAAAGGTCCCTGAGGTTTGAGAGAGCTTGGTGGGAATTAGGAAACACAGCAGCAGCAGGGACAGGGTCACCTCCGAGCAGTGTTAAAGATCATTGTGACGGAGGTAGTGGAGCTCACCGTGCCAAAAGGGTCAGCCCAGGGAGCATGGAGGTGGTGGGATATGCTGGAGGTTCTGAACAGCTTGGGAAACTAAGTGCTTTGAGATGTTTTTCTTGCCTTTTGTGCTCTGTTAAAAAGCAGAGCCCAAATGCAAAATCCTAGCTCAGGGCCCCAGCCTGTACATGACTCTTGGCTGAGCTGAGCAGCTGCTGGGGCTGAGAGGCAAACACAGCCCTAGTGTTATAGGATGCTACCACCACTAGGAATTTCTGGTGTCCCACATTTTACACCTAAAGCTGTGTTGCCTGAGCATTCTTCTGCTCAAGTGATAGTACGGGTCTTGTTTATCTGACTCTTATTGCTTCTCTCCCTTTTGGAGTAGAGGAACATGTTAGAAGAGCAATTAGATGGAAGGAATTAAGAGTATGGGGTGTGTAGTAATATGAAGGAAACTGTCAGAAATTGGGGGATTTTGCTTGTTTGGTTTTTTTTTTTTAATGTAATGTGAAATTGTGAATGTGAATCTAGAATCAGCCTGTCTCCTTGGGGATATTTTTTCAGTGTGAATGCTGTTAGCCAGACTTCAGGTGCTTTGTCTTGGCCATTTTCTCTAAGGGGTACTCCTATATAATTACAGTCTTGGTGGCTCACAGATGGAAACTGGGCAGGGAGAGAAAACTGCAAAGGCACAAAAAGCTGCTACCTTGTGGTTTCTGATGAAGCTTATACTTGTCCTGCAGTGCAAGAATTGCTTTGTGCTTTGAGACTGGAGATGGGCAAGTGAATACTAGAGAGTCGTTCAGGCAGTGTGATGTAACCTCTTTTTCTTCTCGATATATTATTTGCAAATGACTTACAGCTTTATTTTTTTTTTTAATAAAAGTATTCGCTGTTCATCCTTGTGCAAATATTCTGAGAATAAATATCACCCTTTTAAAACAGACGAGGATTTCTGAAATCTGAAACAGATTGTTACGAGTGTGCTAATGTAAGATCAAGTGAGAAAGGATGAGATGTGGCTCTTAGCCCCTTCATGGCAATGGCAGCTCACCTGGTAGGATTTGGAGGAGTTGGGCTACACAGGGCCATGCTCTGTGGTAGCATGAGCTGATGTTAACCCAGTGTTACTGCAGTCCTCCCCCATCTCCTGTCTGTATGTCTATCTACTCTAAACAGACTGCTCCTTCCACAGCTGCAGATGGAGAGGTGAGAAAGAAAAGCCGGCTGGAGAGGGAAGAGGGCAGCACTTTCAGCTGTCAGGCTGTGGCATACTTGGGTGATTTTAACTCTATTTCTCATGTTCTTTTCAGAAGAAGTTGCCTGAAAAATTATTGTGAAGGATATCAGCCCAGTGGGTTGTCTATCCCAGATCCAGGGAGAGAAGCTGTTAGCAAAGGCAACTTGCCCTTTCTGATGCAACGTTCATGTACCCCTTGTCACCAGTGCCGCTTGCATTTGCAGTGGGTAACCTGTTGTCTGACCTGTGGTTTTATGTTGACTTTCTCTGCTGATTCCCAGGGCAGCAGCCTGCTACACAAGGGAGCAGCTCCACATGCAGTGGGACTGAGCCCCCAGGCTGTTGCAGATGTTCTTCATTAGCTCCCTCTTCACCCATGTCCCAGCAAGTCTGAATGCTTGCAGTTGTAACATGTCTGGCCCCAGGACTGTTTCCACACTTCCCAGCCAGAGGTATATGCTGTGCAATGAACCTTATGTGTTCAGTGTCTTGGGCCTGTGATGCCTGTGGGGCCCAGGTCTGGATTACACCTGTGGTAAGGCAGTTCCCTTCAGGCTGAGTTGTGCTTGCAGTGTGTGGAGCAGTTTTGCCACAGGATTTGAGCTGGGTCCAGCTTCTGTGCTTGTGATGTCCACAGTTTCTTAGTGCCCATCAACAGTGAGAAAGTCTGTCCCACATGTCCTGGGCATCTCCAGTTTCACGGCCCAAATACTGTTTTGCGTACAGGTTTCAACTTGCCCATATGATCACTTGCCTGGGACTTAGAGAAATTAGGCATCTAAGTTGGATCTGCTACTCTGACTGTGCTGCATAGAGTAGAAATGCTGGGCAAGAAAGCAGAATTGTTTACATGGCTGTCTCCTTGCTCGCACAAAATTTTCCAAGGAGAGCAAATGGGTGTATCTGGGAGCTTTTTGGTACCAATGGTAATTTCCACAATTTCTGTGTATGACAAGGGTTTGCTCTGTGCTCCACGAAGTAGTTGAGGTAGAAACCCTTTCATTGATTCAGGGAGATGGAGCTTGCTTGCTCAATTTGCCGTGGGTGGATAAAGCTGATCTCTGTCTTGTACTGATTTTGCCTGAGCTGGTAGTTTATGGTGTGAACTGAGTGAAAACTGTTGCAGCCCTAGAGGCCTCGTGCCTGGGTACATCACAGCATCAGTGTGAGCATCAGCAGGGTGCCTTTCCTGGGTCTGAAGCAGAGCTGCTATGGAGGGTGGCTTTGCTGCAGAGGTGGGTAAAGGTTGACTGATAGATGGTTGCTAAAAACTCCAGTGCTGAATCTTTTATCGTATAAAATTGAAGCCAGATATGTTGGAAAGTCAGTAGGCTGTCCTAATATGTGGAACATTTCAACAGAGATGTGATATTTCATATACTGCTGCCATTGCTTGGAAGTCACGCTCACCCAGCTAGAGCAGGGATTATTTTTTTGGCATCTTCAGCTTTCTTAGAGGAAAGAGCAGAATTGATCATATGCATGTGATAATCCAGAGAAGAAAATAGATGCCGAACAATCTCTGAAGCTGTTTCCTTTCTATACAATGAATAACTGCTGCATGTGGAGTTATTTACTATGCACCAGTGACTTAATAAAGTATGCTTTTATTATTTGGACACCTTTCCTGACTTCATGTGGAAGTTGATATCTTGGTTATTTTTTTTACCTGATACTTACCTGAGCAATGCAATTGAAATGCCAAAGCCTTACATATCTAATGTAGACTTCTTGTTTCTATAGCAACAAACCTCGACCTTGTACTTAATGAAGGAATATTGGAGTGTGAGTAACTGTGACTTTAAGGTTTAGAAAAACAAACAGAAGCACTTTTTATTTTGAGATTAGAGAAATAAAACGGAAGTGACCTCTTTGCATAGAACAAAAAATGTTTCCTAGGCTTGAGATACTTCATTAGTAGAAATGAAACCATATTAATGTCATAAGGAGCTCTGTGTTTTAATCTTGTTTTCCTAATTAAAATGTAAAAGCCTTTCATAGCATGTGAGAGTCTTTGAGGGCTTTTTACCCCTCTTTCTTTTCTGAAGCTGCTATGTTTGTGGTTAGGCTAATGAAAATTTGGGCTGCTTTACAGCAGATACATTTTACTTCTGTTTTGGCAAAAATTCATTGATAGATTTTGTATGGGCTGAAAAGGAAGGGAGAAAAATGTGTGGTGTTTAATCCTGGATTTGATCTACAGGCTAGTTTTTGGTCAATTAGTTTAAATCTGTGTTACAATGATAAATGCTGACAAGCTACAGATGAGAGAGTGAATGAAGGAGCAGCTGTCATTTCTTCCTATTTTCTTATAGCTTTTCAATTACAGTTTTAATAACCATTAAATTCTAATTTAAAACAGCCACAGGAAACATCCCAAAAAAAAGGCAACAGTGCTGACAGCGACATATCACAAATGTTTACCACAAATGTTTATCACAAATGTTTATGAGCCTGTTTCTGTATCGGCATTCCAATAAGTACTACGCATTTGTGGCAGGTTTATTGCACTTCAGTATTAGTCTGTAGAAGTAAATGTGGGCAAATGGCAAATATGTTGCAATCTGACCGGTGAAAAAATTTCCACAAGGTAGTCCAATTTTTCTGTTTGCTGTTTCTTCCGTGACTTTTTTTTAATTTTGTTGTTAAGCTGTGATTCTGATAAGTTCATCTTCTGACTGAATAAAGATAGCCAGAATTCAGGATTTAAGGAGACGTTTTATCTACTGAACTCACTTGTCAGCAGGCAGCTGAGACAACCAAAGATGCCAATGATGGTGGTAAATTACCCCACAGCAAAAGGAAGGGTGGAAGGCAGGATAAGACAGATGGAAGGTTGACTTGTTTGAAAGATGATCTAGATAAGCTATTGCAAAAAGCAAACCCAGAAACAACCTACTCAGCAAAATCCAGCTTGAAACTGGCTGAGTTGGAGCATATTAAACTGTGGGCAGGTGGCATCCCGTATGAGCTGGGAGCCTGCATCCTGCTGAGAGCTGTGCTCTTCCGCCTCCCAGCAAACTGATTGGAAAGGCATGTGGTGTCCCTGAGAAGTGTGAAAAGGCACAACCCAAAACCTTTGGCTCTTATTTTATTCTACATTTCCTTTTAAAGATAAATATCTTACAATTTGGTGAAATGCTTCTCTAGGCGGAGACTGAAGGAAATCTGGCAATGAGGTTACAGCAGGTCTGCAGGAGAGGCACTAGGTATGGAAGTTGTGATGTTGCACCATAGCCAGCTGATAATGAGCTTCTCTAGAGCTGCTAGGGTGTTTGAAGCCTAAATACAGGAGGAAGCAAAATTTATGTGATTCTGCATAACTTTGACCAAAGATCTCAAAGGACATGAACTCCCTGAAAGTTTCATAGAGGTACTCTGGGGGTGTCTTTGCTGGTGGGGAGGCTAATGTGTTTGTGTGTTCTCTGTGTTTCAGGGATAGAGCTCTGTCCTCCTGGGCACCGGTTCATGATCACCATGGTGGCAAGCTTCATTGAAATGGCGGGGCAGTTCCTCATGCCGGGGCTGGCTGCCCTCTGCAGGGACTGGCAGGTCCTCCAGGCAGTCATCATCTGTCCTTTCCTGCTGATGCTGCTTTACTGGGTGTAAGTATTTCTTCCTCCTGTCAGGTCAAAGGCAACATGAGCTCCTAATGCAGGACTTGGGCAGTGCTTCACTGTGGGGAAGTGTGTGTGCTTCACAATACATATGAGCCTTTCCCTTTGTTATTCCATTCACCTTGTGCAAAGACTTGACTTTGAAATAAGAATAACTTTATAATCTGCTGTAGCACGCACATATGTTACATGCTGTGACAAGGTGGGAACTTGGGAGATGGTCCTCTTTGATTGAGGTGCAATTTGTATTTTGCTGTTATTCTGTCTGTCACTTCCCCTTTGAAGATGCAAACAGTTTTTGAGAGGATGCATCTCAGCCTAGCTGTTGTCAGATTATGACTGCATGGCTACATTTTCCCTTAATACCTGTGTTGTGGTTCTGTACTGTCACTGTTCATTTCTTTGGCCTGGGTTATCCAAGAGAGGTTAAAAATAATGTGTGTCAGCTCTTCAACAAACACGCTTGGATATCTTGTGTACATGAGGTAGTCAGCCCTGAACTAGACTTGATTTTGCCCAAATTAGCTCACGCTATGCTGAAGTCTGTGTGGGTGGTCTGTTCCAGGCAGTGGTTCAGGATTGTTCCCGCAAGGAATTCCCCACTCCCACTGCTCCCACTCCTCTCTGCCTGCGGCGGGGCATTAATACAGCTATCCTGAGAGAAGTAGGATGGCTTTCACCTTGGGGATGGTGCCAGGTCCATCCCCACTGTGACTTTTTAAACCTCCCAAAAATCTTGCTTTGTTGTTCTGTCTTAATAGTGACACGCAGTGGCGGCATAACACAACAGAGGCTTATGAGAGCAGTGTTGTACAAAACCATAAGAGTAAGAACAGGCTAGATCATTCATTTTAAAGATAATACTAACAAGTCTAAAATATTAGTTGCTGTGCACTCAGAAAAATGGCCATCACGCTGTGTAGGACCAAGTTGTTTATGTACCCATGGGAGGCTAGGCTGCTAGCTGTGATGCCTGACGAGTTGCAATGTGTGCAAACATGTTACAATATGTAAGAACTTTTAACAGTTATATTCTTGTATCAACTTCTTCCAAAGTTCTCTTGTGTTCGTGATGGTGACTCTCAGTGGGGATTTTATTGCTTATTCCCAGGGCAGACATGCTGCAGCACGGGCAAAATGCAGCACACAGGAGAAAGTTACAAGTCCTTCGCAAGATAATGGCAGGGGTTTTACATTTAAATAGTCTTGTCTTGTCAGTGTTAATCTCAATGAATACTGAAGAGTGGGTTTTTTTATGCATGATACTGTTCTCCCCTCCCGTACCTGCCGTATGTTACCCATGTGCAGGTCTGCTTCCTGTTGCGATGCCACCAGCTGAAATGCCTTATATCCACCACTGAACAGAACCCAGTATCAAGCATAATGTTTACAGATATGTGTCCAAAGGACAGTACACTAGTATGAAGATGCCTAATGAACCCAGTAGATGGGATGGACAGCAGGCACCCCTCAGCAGTCTTCTGTATGTTGCATGTTTTCCAGGTGGCTGTGGCAGGGTCTTGTATGTTCCTGTCGAGAGGTTGTTCCTGGGTGACATTGAAAGCAATAGGAAATGTTAAAATTTATTTTGTAATCTGCAAGAGCTCTGTGGCTTTTTGGCTGTACAGGACAGGCAAACCAAGGAAATAGATCCCCCTCATATAATGTTGGTTATGGCAGCTTGATAAATAGTGGTAACAGCCAAAGGATCAGGATTTGTGTTGCCCAGGGTTTTTCCATTTGCGGAAATGGGCTCTGGTTAGGATGCCTGTTTAATTATACTGTCAGTACAATATGTACTTTTCTCTTAGGCTTTTCTCTTCCATCTGTTGCATATTCTCTGGAAAGTGCTACCATTTCATTGCCTCTTCCCTTTCTTCCAAACGGAACATGGACCCTCAGCATGTGTTACGAATGAAGGAAGAAAACTAACTGATGGGTAATAAAAGAAGAACACTGCTTGTTAATTCGCCATCATGTACCCAAAGCAGTGAGTTCAATAACAGATGTTGTGAACAACCCCTGCACTGCCTCCTCCTTCCTCTATACTCTCTTTACTTCCATCTCCTGCTGTGAGAGTGGCATTTGCCTCTTCAGGCTGGGGCTTAGCCCTCTCTCACCTGTAGATTTGCTCTGCTTTTGGCCACATGCACATGACAGACTATACGGTCCCCAGTGGTGCATGGCTGAGCAGATTGGGTAGCTGGGCATGGATGGGGGAAAGGGGAGACAGCAGATATGTCTAGGAGGGATGAGCAGGTGGGTTTGGATACAAAGCAGATGCCACTGCTAGGCTCTTAGGTCATTCTGGAAGGGCAAAAGACACCCATGTAAGCCAGACTTGGGCACAGGGGTTTGTGACAAGTGTATAAAAATAAGTCAGTAGAAGTTAGACTCCTTTTAAGTGTGTATGTATATTATAGCCATGAGGGAAGGGGAGCTCCAGTTATACAGAGACCTTATTTTCTCTTGCTTAGAGCAGGAAGCTCCAGACAGGATGATGCCATGAATGTCAGCAAAGGTATCAATAGCTTGAAATAAACTCCTGCTTCACTCTAACAGAAAGTGAAGAACTGGGAAAAGGTGGCCAGTTCTTTTCTAGTGCTGATAGATAGGATTTACTCTCACCAAGACACAAAGTTGGACGAACTGGGCTTACTGCCTTGGGGCAGACCCCTAATTGACACATTACACTCTTTTCATGGTCGTCCATTTTCCACCCATCTGCACAGGATCACGGTTTTCCTTCCAGCTACACGTGGTACCTTCCTAGTTCTTGTCTGTCAAGGGTTCTTCTTCTCTTAGGGTTTCTTGGACTTGAGATCTTTCTTTCCCCAGTGTCCCTTCCACTCATTCTCCTCTCCTCTCTCCCCGTACTCACTCTATGTTCTTTTCTCTGACTGTAAAAGCATGGCCCTTTCCTCACTGATGGTGGAGGTAGCAGACTATCAACCAGCCATGTGGGGAAAATACTGAAAAACAAAGTTCAGCAGGAAGAAATGCATGCATTGGCTATAGTGTTCACCAAGGACAAACTGTCTGCACACCTTAGGGGCAGGAACACTGAGGGAGCTTGGTGTACCACTCTAAGGGAGACATGAAGCTAAGGATGGAGTGGCACAGAGGTGTTTAAAACAATGCAGCTAATGGGAACTGTAAGCCAAAGGAATGACCCAAAAGGTGACCAAAAGCTGAACTTTGCTACATCAGCTCAAAAATACATATTACATTTCACACCTCCACATAGGCTAATGATTAAAGTCACTCAAACACCAACCTAAACATGAAATGACATTAGCTGTAGCTTTACCTTTTCCCTTCCCTCAAAGAAAACAATATAAATATAGCTTAACTGAGGATGGAGGTCAGAGGAGACTCCATCTTTGTATCCTGGGGTGGTCAATGGGCTGTACCTATCTTTTCTCTCATTGCCTGTTGTGTAAGAATCGAACACTCAGCAATACCAAGTGCTTCTTCAGGAAATTCAAAAAGCAAGCTTGTGTTTGTGATCATAGTTTTAGCACTACTTAGTCATCTTACAATTTAATATGTTTATTGTTGGCTGTATTATTCATATTTTAAGTATTCATGTATGCTTCTGCAGACAGTGTACTTACCACCAGCAACCCAAGAAGCTGCATTTCTGTTGCTCAATAAATGACACTTCTGTACCTGGCCATGAGAGCTATTGAACGTGACCAGTCTTCTAGTCTGGCCATGAGAGTTCATTGGGTGCAACCAGACTTAGTGTATCACACAGTCAGCTCAGCCTGCTGATCTGGGCAGCTGCCCACCCTCAGCAGTAACCTGTCTCAGCTTCATTCAATTAGTATTTAATGCCAGGTGATAAAGCATGGGGTGGTGAACAGATTTCTGTGCAGAAGTCCACTGGGACCAAGGGATTTGGTTTGTGGTTTCTCTTCTTTTTTTTAGCTTTTGAGTTTGTGATGGTACTTGGTACAGCAACAGAAGATGCAACAGCAGGTGCATACAGATGATGCTTGGCTGCAGGATCCATGCCCCACAGATGAGCTCAGGTGCTTGCACAGAGATGGGGCAGCCAGCACTTCCCCTTGCTGTGCCTGGTAACCTGGGCTCAAGGCAGCACACAAGTTTTTAAAGATCCTTAATGAACCTCCCACTGCTCACACTTAATGATGGAGTAGCTGAAAGATGTGAGGCTTTAGCACTTCCAGTTTGAGAAAACTGCAGGAGCTGGAAGATAGAGACAGCGTTTTTCCCCACTGTGCAATGCCCATCCCTGTGGCTCCCTTTCTTTTCGTAGATGCTGGTGGTCATTATAGGAGTTGTTTGGGACCTTTAAGCAGACTGTTCAAAATCTGAAACTTTTAGCCTAGTGCCTGAGACTGTCTCCTCTCCAGAACCAAGCATGCAGAGATTTTGCATTCAAAAGGTTTTTAGTATTTCAAAAAATGCTTTTGCTATACAAGACTTACTGCAGGAGGATATGCCAAAGCAGCTGTGCAGCACAATAGTAGTAGGGAGGTAGTAAATAAGCTGTCAAACTGAATGGCTGTCATCAATATTTTTATTGACTGTTATCATTTAGACTGCAGTCTGCCTGACTTCTCTCCTTTCTACTTCTTTTTCAAAAAATTACTTAATACTTTCTCTGTCTCATTTGGAGGTTTTGCTAAGGGGTCTTCCAAATTGTATCAGCCTAAGAGATGGTGCAATTGACTGCTTGGAAGTATAAGAACTGAGCTGCATCCACAGCAAAGATCAGTGCTTTGTAAAGAGAATTTGAGGTTTGTTATATGTTTGAAGTTAAAAGTAGTTGTTAAATTGTTCTTAGTAAGGTCTTTTGAAAGAGCAGTGAAAGTGAAGCCTTAACATGAGAGAAAAATATACTTGGAGTGAGATCTGAAAGTTTTCATATCTATAGAAGTACGGGAGATTTTGGTTTTTTCTTCTAAGATCTACATGTTTCTTTTGGTTTTGTATTAAAATAAACTCATCTGAAAAATAAAAAAGGAAGAATGATCAGTTAAGCTCATGAATCTGGTAAACATCAGCACTTGAAGGAAACAACTGGACAGAAAAACTTTTTTAACTGTGTGTGTGTATATATTTTTAAGGCAACTCAACTAACACAATATTGTCTTTACTAAGGGAAGCTTTTAAAACAACAACTAAATATTGTCTGGAACACACACGATACTGACCTGTATAAAGAATGACTGCATATATGGGAGAAGGTTTTTAACATATTTAAAACCTGAGAAAATATGTTGCAATATAATCCTAAGGAGTAATTCTTCTCTTTCTCTGTCTTTAGAAGAGAACCCAAATTACTTCTGTTAGCTATTTTCCTTCTTTGGTCTGAATTACCATGTGTTAACTGCGCATCTCATTCATTCTCTTCTTGGCAGCAAATGTCTATTGCAGACAGCACTGCCTCCTCCTCCCAATTTTTTCAAAATTATATTAATGGACAGAGCACCTGGAATATGTTATAAAATTCTAATTTGTCCTATTTCCATGGGATAGGACAGTTCCTTTATCATTTGTGAAGCAAAGTAAAAGAAACTGTCATTAATTTGCACATTCTGAATTGGTTTTCCCTCTTTTTTTATTTCATGAGTGATTCTTCTGCATGTTGAAATAATTACATAGTTCCTGAGTGGTTAAATGAGCGGCTAAAACTCTATCAGTTCATCCTCTGATAGAAACTTGGAAGAAATCATAACCTGTTTTCTGTCTTCAAAGTATTTTCCCAGAGTCCCTTCGGTGGTTGATGGCTACACAACAATTTGAAGCATCCAAGGAACTGATCCTTGAGTTCACACATAAGAACAGGATGAACACAGAAAGCGACATCAAAGGAGTAGTGCCCGGTGAGTAGGAGAGAAAACTGCAAATCCCCCAGCTTTTCTGTAAAGGCTGCACGTGGCATTGCTGCCCGGAATTAAATTATCCATTTATTGCCTGTAAAATCATCCCATTCATTCATTCGTTCATTCATTTTGCTTTTCTTGAAAATCCATTCCGAACTCCAGCACTGTGTTTAAAACTACTTGGCCTGTTGAACAATCCTAGTAATTATAGTCTTGTCTTGCAGTGCCGTATGTCTTTAGAGACATCTCTTGAAGAATTTTACCACGGCTACAAGAGTGCGCCTTCAGCTCTGTGTGCCTCTGGAAACTGTGTTATAAGGAAGCTGCTTGCTGGGATCCTGCCCATCAGCCAACATTTACTTTTTTAGTTTGGAGAAGCAGCAGCACTCAAACCCCCTATGTGCCAGCCCCATGGGAAACTTAAACCACAGTTTCTCTTTAAAGCTTTGCTCCAATAGCTGTTTTGCTTTCCTCTCCCGCATCACCTGAGTGATGCTGCTTTAGGGATGGGGAGTTGCTGCAAGTGGCAGCACTAGAGTGCAGTTTTTGCTTGAGAGTCTAAATTACCTATTTCTTGGTTTTCTGGTGCTTTTGGAAAGAGCTGGCTCCTCTCATCACCAGAATTGTCACTGAAATAGCCAAGATCCTGTCTTGCAGGGTGCTTTGCAGAAGAAACTTCTGTCTGTGTGTGTGTGTGTGTGTGTGTGTGTGTGTCTCTAATTACAACAAAGATAAAGAGTTTCTGCATCTTCATCTCACCGGTGCACCTGTCAGATACGATGCAGGCTCCCACCCCCTCCTTGTCACAAGCCTGACTCTGCCCATAAACACCCATTTTGCATTGTCACTTGCAATCTGTGTCAGACTATGCACTAGTCAGAGAACAGAAAACCCTACCTCCTCTGATCCCAGGAGCTGCAGGGAGACCTCGCCCAGAAGTGATGCTTCTGCGCTTGTCTGATACTTACTGTCAGAGATCTCTGGGGTAACTGTAGCTTCAGTCACTCGCTGTTAAAGGCATCAGTCAGCACTGAGACAGACTTCATCCAGGATAGAAAAAGACCATTATCAGTGTCTAATGAATAAAACAGTCTCTATCAGTGAGCAGTGAGAAAGCCTGGTTAGGGACTGTGGTATACATACCACCATAATCATTGGTGTGATTTTTGGTGCACACTGGGAGTAATTAGCTTGCTTGCATGTAATTGTGTGTCTGGGGTTACAGTTCCTGGATTTGCATCACACAACATGCCTTTGCAATGGAAATGCTGTTTTTCTGGCAAAGTTCTGAAAAGCATAGGGATATGTGAACAGCCATTAACCTGGTGATCTGCATCCCCCCCATCTCCTTTTTGCAGATCTTCCTCACAGTAAATGATGGATCTTGAGAAAACCTATCTCTGAGGCTACAAAATGTCTCAAAATTTGACTTGGAGTTTCCCAACTCCTAAGTTTGACTTTTCTCAGTTTGCTTCTTGATTTTGCAGATGAAATAAAATATATTTTAGGGGAAAGAATAAACTAATTACCTAAATTTGCTTTAAGAAAAATAATAAAGAGGCAACTGTGTCTAGAGGGATTTATTTAAGCCATGTATAAAGTTATTGCCCATGGAGGAATGCTAAGTGTCAAAATGGTTTTATGGCTATTATTTGTGACTGATTTACTCCTATCAGCAGTTTCATGGTAGGAGTATGCTCCTGCTTAAGGGAGGGACTCCCTTTCATGTGAAAAACAGAGCATTATTTCACATCTCGATACTGTGGATTCTCTTGACTGCAAATACGTTTAGATATAGCAGTTGTCAGTACAATGCCTTTTGCAAACTATAAATTGTTCAGAACATGGTCATTTCTGCCTCCTTGTTGATGATGGGTTTGTTGGGGATGTTGTTGGTGTTTTTTTATTATTTCTTTCCTCACTTTTTTCTTTAAACTCTTTTCTGCAGCCCCACACTTTAAGGCTTTCTTGACCCAGCTCTGGAGGGATGCTGCATTGCTGTAGGGGGAGAGTAAGAGAGGAGCAGTATCAAAAGGATGAAGTAAGATTAACTACAAGCTGTTGAAGGAAAGACCTTCTCTCTCATTCTGGTTGCATGGGAGTGTTGATGGTCTGAGTGAGGACAGGAGAAAAGTAGAAATCCTGAATTAAGAATGTGATCAAACCACAGGCCATGTGTCCTGCAGTGGGTCAGTAACCAGAAGAAAGCATTTCTCTGCTTTTGTGTGTTATAATCACGTACCCGTAGTTGCTATAGCGGGGAATGAGTAAAAAGCTGGTATTTGTCTGGGAGAAAGGATGCCATTGAGCCTGATGCAGATATCCCCTATTTTCCCTTGACTCCATTGTTGAGCTTTCCTGTCTGTGTGGAGAGGGTTTTGTTTGTGATTTGTTTTATTCTTTGTTTTCCATCTGAAAGGGCTGGAAACTGTTTTTCTCTAGTTATGGACCATTGTGTTCCTGTTTATTATTCCTCGTTTCATTGTTGTAACCACCTCCTGTGATTGAATTACTCCCAATATGTTTAAATGATAAACTGCTCACTTGTAGTCCCTTCCAGCAGAAAACACCACTGTAATTTTACTCATACATATCGGTCAAATTAGTGTATCCAATATAACAGATCATTACAGGAGTTCCAGTTTCATATGTACCTATTTTGGCAGTTGATATGAGTTCCATAATAAAAAGAAGCAGCATTCTAGAGGGTAACGTATTTCTGGGATGGAAGAAAATTTAATTTTGAATTGCTCTCCGAGCAGTGAGCAGGCTGATTTTCCTTTCTGAAGAATCACATAATTCCCTTTGCCTACTGAAAGCTTTTACTTGTCCATTTGGCTGTACTGCCCATAGTGGAGAGTGCCACTGTAGGGCCTGCTTCTTCTTGGGAGTGGCCATCTACATGTTGGGTGGGAAAAAAAGGAAGCAAAATTTATCTGCTGGTTTTGATAGGGTGGGAGTGGTTTTCCAGTGCTCTTGTGGGAGATGTCTCTAAAGAGAACAACTAAATGTCCAGACAGTGGTCCAGCTGCAGTTGAAAGATCTGGCAGCTACAGAAACAGCCTCTGCCTGGAGAAAATGAGGGTAGGCAGCTGATGGGCAATGCTCAACCAGTAAGATAGTATGGGACTGTGCTTACATGGGAAACTAGGTGAAAGAAGGGACACTGATAGGAGTCTGAAGTGTTGTAGAGTAACATTGCCCTTATCTTCGGTGGCCTGTCCCTGGGGTGATGTTGGTTGCACAAGGGGAACTGATTCCTCAGCATCTTTAAGTGGCTTTATTTTTGAGTGATTGATATACTTTGTGATTTTGAGCAGGAATAATTTGCCTTTGTAAAGAGATTTCTGGGTTTTTGTGGTTGTGGTTTTTTTCTTTAATGGTCAAGAAATCTAGGTGTGTTAATTAGACATGGTTAAATCATCCCTAATATGTTTTGAGTCTTAAAATTTCATCAGTTGGCTTAACAATTCGTCTTCTTTTAGAAATAAAAGTTAAAATTCATTTTTGCATCAAGGAAATTATTTTTATTCAACTGCGTATTGAAATATTATTTTTAAAACAGACTTATTGTATTTTGTGGAAAAATATTTCAAAACATTATCCAAAAAAGTCAACTTCAATCAGGAAAATATGAAACATTTTGATAATATTAATTCAGTACAGTCTTTTTAATACCAATTGGTCCAGAAACTTCACCTTCTCTTCCCTGTGGAACAAGAAACAAACGTACATTTCAGTGCAGCTGCAGGACAGTCATTTTGACTTAAGTGAAATAAATGCTAAGGAAGTATGGAGATCTGTTTAACAAACAGGAGAAAAGAGTATTTAAGGGAATTGGAAATCCCAAAGCACCAACTGTCCTTACACCTTTTAAAGGTGTGTTATACTTTAGATGGCTTTCATCATTTTTATAGGATGCATTCTTTTCCTTCGTGTGGAGGTGGAGGGTCTGTTTGTTGCCTGGAACAGGTCATGTGCTGCAGGCTGGTCTTGGCTGCACCAGCACCCAGCCCTGCAGTGTCTGGGTGTGCTGGGAAGTGCACCACTGGAGACACTGTATCATCAGTTACCTGAGTGTCAAACTTGGTGCTTCCATGGAAACCCACCCCTGTGCGATTCTCTTTGGCTTCCCCTATGGTGGGAGACATTTCGGATGTTCCTTAACATAAAAATAACTGCTTGACCAGGCTAAGAAACAAAGCTCCCTTTTTGCTAATCTCTAGATGAAAACACAAACCAGAGTGCTCCTGTGGACAGATAACTTGTAGCTGTTCCTTTCTAAGCTTACAGAAATAATATTGATGTAATCAGAAAGGGTGGCCAGGAAAGATCAAGTGTCCAAATAGATACCAATACTTTACCATGTAGGACATAACATGGAGAGGATGAAGGGATACAGTGGTGATGAGTACTCTGTATGTGTACATGTGTGGATTGCAGTTAGGAAAGCTGTGGTTTTCAGGGGCTTTGCCTCTGAAGAAAAAAAATCAAATTATCTTTCACCTTTCTTGCTACTGAGCAACACGCTGCCATGACTTTTCTTTTGTACATAAGCTGTTTTTGTGTTTTGTTTTGCTGAATTTTTTTTTCCTAAGCATGAGTCTTGGATCTATGTAATTTTTTTCACTGCTTTTTCCACTGGGTAAATAGCAGAGGGAAGGGTGAAAAAGCCTTATGTCTGAAAGTCAGTCTCTTTCCCTGTAAAGCTTTACTCATATCCTTAGACCATCATACCTATAACTACACTACTGTTTTAAAGCTTGTAATGGATGAAGAGGGTATTAGCTAGATAAAGAAAGCAAGTTTCCTGGCCCCATAATACAGGTAACTCTGTGTGATACTACTGTGTACAAACCTGACAGATGTGTTCCTTTACCAGATCCTGTTTCTTGGGTGTTTAATGGTGCCAAACTTTTAAATATCCCATGCAACTCCCAAAGAGTGGCCAGCTAAATGTGGGAAGTGTAGTTAAAACAATTCAAGATGGTGCTTGAAGGCAGACATTAAAAAGGACTTAAAAAAGACATCTTAAAAAAGACTGTGGGTCAGCCACAGAGATATCCATCTCAAAATTTAAAAAAAACCCCAACCAAATAAAAAAAACCAGCCAGTGATTTCTGTTGCTCACTTGTATGTTTAATCAACTTTCAGGAGGGTCTGGGTTTCTCCTTATGGGCCCCTGTTGTAGGGACTGATGAAGCCTGTGCACCTCTTTCAGGATGTGCTGTGATGTGATAGTGATTAACAAGGATAAAACTGGTCCATTAAGTCCTCTTCTCCTGGCTAGCTCTACAGGAATGGAAGAGGAGAGCCCATGACTATATCCCTGGCAGGGATGGTAGTCATACCTGACAGCAGCAGGTTTCAGAGGGAACAGGGGAAAAAGGGTACACTCTACTGTGAATGTACTTTTCAATGCCACTGGGAAAAGCCGAATATGCAGGAAAATTTAAAGAAAAATAAAAAGAGGGGGTTGTCAACCTCTGTTTAGGCTTGAATTACTCTTTCTCACTAGTTGAGTTTTCTGCAGAGTGTCACTGGCCACACTCCATCCTGTTGATTTGTGCCAGGCTGGCACTCTGGGTCTTTGTCCACGGTACTACATATCCTCCCAGAGGAGCTGGCTTTACAGGGCAGGAGTCATGTGCAGAGGGCAGGCAGCAAGCCCTGGTGCTGCTGGCACTTCCCCAGCCCACAGGCACAGGGAGGGGAGACGATGGAGAAAATGAGGGTAGGTGAGTCTGGATGTGGATGTGAAGGGCAGGAGAGGAAACCTCAGGACCCCCATAGGGGTGAAGAGCAATAAGAAGGGACCAGTGGACAGAGAAGAGAGGAAATAAGAGACTTAAACGAGTTGTGGGAGCAAAGATTAAAGATAGTTGGAGGGAACTTAGAGAGGCAAAGACAACAATGGAGACCAAAGGAGCTATGATCATATGCTTCCCCCTCTTTCTAGAACAAGCTGTCAAGCCCTAGGATTCAGTCTCAGCCCTCTTCTCTTGTGAAATCCACTCCTCAAAAATGTGCTTCACCCCTCCATCCTACCCAACTTGCTTGCTCTGCCTGCTGAGGTTTCCTCCATAGCTCTGGTGGCAAAGAGCAGCAATGCATGTGTGGGTACCTGAAACCTCCTGATGGCTCAGATACAGCTCCACACAATGACATTTGAGGTGCTCTTTGTGTTATGGGGGTTTTTTTGATTTTTTTTTTTGTTGGGTTTTTTTTTTTGGTGATGTTAGAAGAACGTAAACGTCTACATGTCACACCCTGGGAAATGGAAGAAGTCAGGTTGCCTGGGCAACCCTTGCTTGGCCTCCTGGCATGAAGGCATGTTGATACAGCCTTTAATAACATGATTACGACCTATTTTTTCCACAGGGCATAGGATGGACGAATCAGTGCATAGGATGGACGATGATGTGGGAATGAAGCTGTTGTCTGTTCCTCATTTGTTGCAGAATTTGGAAGGTGTGTAGTGAATGAGGCAGAGGGTTGCAGGAGGAAAGAGAATAGTGTTGGGGAAATGAAGCTAAATACCTCCTTAAGAACTGTACTTGTTCTCTGTGTCTGACAGGAATGTTTTTGTATGATGATGGAGATTTCCCTGGAATCAGGCCCTTTCAGTCCTGTTGCTAATCACAATTTCTTCAGTGTCTGTCTCTAGTGTGTAATTCTGGGGCTTGATTTGCAGAAAGCTGGGAGCATTTATATCAGCAACTACAAGGTGTATTGCTGCATGATTTTTCTCATTCTGGACAAAAATCCTCTGTATTGTGTCTCCCTGCCTGCAAAACAGGAATAATCTTTGCCTTTACTCTTACGAGGTGGTAGAGATTATTTCATTATTATTTATGAAATGCGTGTATATTCTGACAGCACTGTAGGATTGTCTCTGAGGAAATCTATGAGTTTTTTGTACTCACTGGGAGGTTTGGATAATAAGGCTGAGAGGCACATGTTCAATGGGAAAGGTAGAGACGTCATTACTACCTGCCCATTTGGTGACTACAGTGAGCATTCTGGGGGGGGAAATTAATGTGTGATCACCTGAGTGCTATATCCTAATGCATATGAGCAATTGAAGATTGCAAAGGCGCCCTTATGTCTGGCTTTTTCTTACTTTTTTGAACGTAATTAGAAATACAGGATTCAAATAAATTATTACAATCAGTCCTTAGCTGTTATAGCCATAGAGTTACACTGTTACTCTCATGAAATGAGATTAATTTTAAATGCTGTTAGTATTTATGTGCAATGCTTTTGTTAGAATGCCATTCCAGTCTCCATATTGCTCTTGTACTGGGGTACATTTTAGCGTTCAATTCAAATACACTATAGTTGTCTGTGTTCATTCTTTTTTCCCTTCCCGTTTGCTCCTGTCTGTGCCTATCTTAAATCTCTTTTCCCATGCTTTGTGAGAAGGCAGCAGCCCCATTCCTTTGCTGAGATGAAGTTCTCCTCTATCTCCCCTCCTTTTATAAAGGGACTTGCCAAAGCTTTAGTTTCTCAAATATTGATGACCAGAATTGTAAGAGAGTACCAGCATTTCGTTGTCTGAATTACAAATACCTCATGGTCTCAATAAACTGGTGTCAAGTGTTCAAGTAGTACATAATCAAGTCCAACATAGCCTTTGCTTATGTTGGGGAAACATTTCCCCTTAATGACTGAGAATCTTACTTTGTATTATGCACTTTCACTTGCATTTGCAACACAAGGTCTCAGTTTCACCTAGTTCCCTCTAATGGCTCATTTCTGTGCTGTACTTACCTTTGGTAGTAAGGCAATGCCTCACTTTGTCACCAGCAGACCTTGTTGGTACATTTCTAAGGTTTTTGACAGGCTCCCTCCTGAAGTTTTTAAACAAGATTTATTTTTTTTTCTTTTGAGAATAAGACAATTCACCCTGCCACTAATGTCCTACTATCTGCTTATGATTTCTGTTTTTCTATCCCTTATTGTCTGCCATGAGTCAGCATTTTACCCACCTCATAATTTCTGTATGTGACTTGATAGCCCTCAGTATTTCTTCATTATTAGGCTTTTCAAAAATGCAGTGATTCAGACTACCAGTCCTCCATGATAATAAATAAATAAGTAAATAAGCACAAAGGGAGTTCACGGAGACAGAAGTCCTGGTAGGTATAAATAAACCTGTGTACCTGTAACTCAGTCTGCCTGAGAGTAGATTGCTTCAGCTCTGTGTTTCTGACTGGTTTACCTCCTGCTGCAGAGCTGTCATGCTCTGTGGATTGATTGAGTCTCTGTGCTGGGCTTCCATAGCTCTTTTCATGTTCAAAGAGCTACTGACAGTATCGTTTAGCGGCCAGAAAAATCCAGCAGAAGTACATCGCCACAGGACACTTGTCATTTTGGACATTCTTTTTCGGCTGCTTGATTTGGGTTTTTGTCTATTTTGTTTATGCCAAGTGATGCAGAGATGTGTGGCTTCATTTGAAGGCATTAAAGATACTTTCTAATTTTGAAAGCCATGCTCCTGAAACACAGAGGATCCCATGAGAATTCAGTAGTGTAGGGAGCTAGAAGCTGGTAGGATTCCCCATCCCATTAGACTTTCAAAGTCTCCCATTGAATAGTTTTAATTTCCATTGAGATATAAAGAGTTAGCTTGTTGACAGTTTTCCTACCGAGTCCTTGAATAGGAAGCCTAGAGTGTGTGTGGGCTCTGGAGTATGGGAAAACTTACTAGGGGCCTCTGAGTAAATGGGTAAAAATATTTTTTATTTTCTGCACTCTCCCTTATGGTAAATCAAAACTGAAACACTTAATGCAAATTCCTTCTGAACCGATGACTTCAGTGCAAAATCAAACAATAAGCTGGGGGTAGAGGGAGTTTTTCTGGTATTAGCCCTGAGAGAGCAATAGTTTGCTTCCATGGAGCTCTAATAGGCTTCAGCTTGACTTGTCTTTTAATATCTGAATGTTGACGTATGAAGTCCAGACAGCCTAAGAACTGTCGTTCTCCTGATGCTCATCGCAGTCAGTCAGAGCAGGTCCTTTCATGTAAGCAGGCACCCTCCAAAGACAGCAGGTCATTTACAGGTGACTTAGATTTGGAGTTTTAAAAATATCATAGAGACATGGAGGTATAAATAGCTGGTAGAGCCAGGAGGCTTTTAGTAAGAAGTCAGGCATTTTTGGTGTAAAGATGGGGGGCAGATTCTTTTTTTCTTCTTTTTTTTTTCCCTTTGTTTTTCTTTTTTTTCCCCTTTTTTTTTTTCCTCCCCCCCCTTATTTTTTTCATTAATGCTTTTAAGGCTGTTACATCTGGAATCTCCTTTGAGGAATTTTCTTATAATGATGCAAGGTATCCACAGAGTATGACCCCCATCAGAGCAGAAGCAAGGGTGTGCTAAAGAAAGACTGCTGCATAAGACAGGATAGAGAGGGGGTGAAACTCCCCTCATGTGTGATCCTTGCTGCAGCTGAAGCCGAGGAGGTGTTTGTCAGTTCATATAACCCACCAGCTAGCCATTTCTTGGGGGTAGAATAGCGATTCAGTGTGAAACACTGACAGGAATCAGTTCAGAAGCACTGAGTGCCTGAGTGCACTCAGAGAAGGATGCATGATAATAAACAAAGAATTTATGGATTATGGGAACCCCTAATGTATGAGCAAGAGAGGAGGGCAAAATAATATCTGGTTCCAAAGAGAAGTGTAACCAAGTTAAGTGTACTTCTCTTAATTTTTTTAAGTTGTGGCTCAATAAAGCATATATTGACAATGAAATCTGCTTTCTCTTCTGTAAGAAAAAATTAAAATTGCTCTACGAAATGAAAAAATTCAAGAAAATCTGAAGGATATGGCATTAGGGCCTATCTTATGCTGCCAGAGGATGAGATGTTTTAGTTTGATAGGCCAGATTGTCCACATGAAATCTGTGTTGTGTGTTGTTTGGGTAGTGATTTTCCTTGTTGCCATTCAGATGAAATAGTAAACAGCCACCAACAGCTTTTCAAAACCCTTGTGCTTCTTCTAGTGCTTGCTTTGACTATTTTGCTGTAGATGGTTTAGCTTGGGCTCAGTTATAGGCTTTACAACTGCGTTTTATCTAAGTGCTTCTGTTGTTCTGAATTATTTTATTTGCACTTACTCCTTTCCAGAATCTTGCTACAAAAATAATTTTGACCTTTTTCTTTGAGATTAAGTACCACCTTTCTTTATTGCTTTTTTTTTTTTTTAATATAACCCCAATCCATTGCTGAGCCTGCTGAGGGCTTCTGTAATGCAAATATTAATTTAACCAATTTCTTCTTTTGCTCCACCTCTGTTTTTCTGCTTTTGTGATCTTCATGCTGCATAGATTCTGGGGAGAAATAGCCATTATCAGAGAGTAAGGGAAGTAGTATGGCAATATTCTGCTCAAGTACAGTCATTAATACAAAATACCCTTTGCTGCTTTTGTCGGAAGCATTCCCAGTAGTAGCTCTAGAGGGAAGACCAGGAGTGACCTGTGAGCAGTGAATAGCTCAAGTATTTGCATATAAATAGTGTTTGTTTGATTTATTATTTTTATGATACACTTTTCAAATAACAGCAGGCAAACTCGTTTTTTCTTTAGTTTGTAAATTCGGGTGAATTCCCTCCCCATCCCCCTCCCGCCCCAGCTTGCTTTTATTTTCCTGTGTCTTGCAGCTCTTTAAGGAATTGCTATTCAGTGGAGTAAGGCAAAGGTCAAAGCAGGCCAGTGTGGACAAGTGAGGACACCCGTGCTAATTATGTATGCACGAAGGGAACGCGTGCACCGTTCAGAACAGGGCCACGCTGCTGCCTTTAAACAGAGTCAGTCTAGAAAGCAGCAAAAAAGCAGTCCTAGTCTGCACTCTTCAAAGGCATCGTTTTTGTGATGGTTCCTTATAACTACAGCTTCTTCTGTTTTTATTGAACTTGTTGCTGTCGCACTGATCCAGTAGCTTGGAAACAGGCTGCTTTGGCATGCTTAGGTAGGTGTTCACGCTCTAAATTAATGACACTTGGGAAATAAAATGTCCTTTGTTATTGTCCCACGCCAACAAGGGTGTCGGATGCAGTATTTGCAAGACTTGTGTGTTCTTAACAGCACTGCATAGAAAAGTTAGCTTGGAGCTGCCCCAGCACTTTAAGAACATGGTGAGACTTCAGTTCTGAAGTGCTAAGACACCACAGCTGCTGATACCCAAAGATTTTTCTTTAAGGAAATGTCTTAATGTTTAGGACATCCATCAGAGCAATTTTAAATATTTGAAAAGGGAGTGGGGTGAAAGAGGATAAGCTGACATAATGTCCTAGCCACTTTATTCTGAAACCTGCATTTGAACAAACCTCAAAAGAATGCCATGAAAAATGAGTTTGAACTCCAGTCCTTTCCATGGCTTTTCAGGTGTGTATTGCACAAAGGCAGCAGGGCTTTTGCTGCACAAGTGCAGTTCTGCCTATGGAGGGGTTTAAAAATTAACAGAATCCTGAAGTTTTTCAAGAAATTTGATGTCATGCTTGCTGAAATCAAGCTCTGTACTGCTCCCCTTTTACATATACATGTTTAACTGGAAGAAGGTTTGCAGTGTGAGGGAGTTCTTAGGTAGTTCTTCCGCCTCAAGAAGGTTAAGGGAAGCCTGAAAGAACAGGAGGAACTGTGGTGAACTTTGGACAGGCTGTTCAGCATTTTTATAGTTCCTATTAGTGTAATCAGTACTATCCTGCTCTCCAACACCTCCCTCAAAATATCTGTAGTTCACAAACAAATCTTCTCATTCTCCCCAGTGAAAGGATAATTTTGGTTTGGTTTGTTTCAGAGCTGGAAAAGGAAATCACCAGGAGACCGAAGAAAGTCTGCATTGTTAAAGTGGTGGGAACAAGGAACCTGTGGAAAAACATCGTAGTATTGTGTGTGAACTCGTAAGTTTGATCTCCTTCTGTTTGAATAGTTGTGTGGTCAGTCAACTGGAAGCAGCAATGGGAAATGATGAGGGAGCTCCTTCGAGGGTGGGACCCTTCACTAATGTCTCTGATAAACGATCCTGGAAGAACACCAGCTGTTGCAGGGAACTGTTTTTACGACAAACATGGAGGAGCTCATTGGCGGTTTCAGGCAGCAAAACCACATCCTCTCAGGTGCCATGCTGCAAGTACATTGCTATCACCAGTGGTCTTGAGTGGCCACGTGCTGGTATGTGCTCGTGCATGCAGACATCTACTGCTTGGCATCCTGGATGGGATTTTTGAAACCTTTAATGCCACAGGAGCGCAGGTTCAAGTTGTTTACATCTGACAGGGCTGTGTTGCAGAGGGAGATGTTGCTTGCTAATAAACACAAGCCTCCTCCCTTGTATAACAGCTGTCCTTGATAGGTCTTCAAAGGCAGATTGCAAAGTGCTTCAACACTCCCAAATAGTGTATGGGGCACGCAGGGAGAATGTTCTGTGGGAGACTGCACAATGTGATGCTTTCGTCCTAAGGCTTCCATTTGGATGTGCTTATGAGGGCAAAACCAAGCATCAGCCTGAGGGTTTTGCAGGTTACAGGCTCTGAGACTTTCTATCCAGAACTGACCACCTTGTAAAGAGGAAATAGATGGGCTTACAAATTCTGGGAGGGCACCAGCAGTGGATTTTCTAATTTTTCTATATAGTAAAATGTCCATTTGTATTTCTTTCATTATTTTTTTTCAAATGGGAGATGAGAAGGGAGAAGAGTGGAAATCCCCCAGGTTTAGAAGCATGTAGCTCTCCTGTGTAATTTTCTTCACCTCTTCAGGGCACTACTCTGCAGCCCTCACTCCTGTTAATAGGCTTATGGGTCAGTCATAACTGGTCAAATAGTCACCCAGAAGCACCAAGACTTCACGGGTCAGTCTCCAGTACTATTGGTTGCAGAACCAGCTCTAGTCTTACGAGTTTTGTGTCTCTCTTCCACCCAGCAGTGAGTGATCCCCTCTGCTCTGAAACAGTGTCTTCCTGTTAGGCTCCACTGGTACATTTAATAGCCTGTGTTAACTGTATTTGTGAAAAATGTTTACATGGGGAATTCTCCCCTTCTCCCTCACCCTCATTAATTTTGCATATTTGGAAATTCCCTGAACCGGAACTAGGCAGCCCAAAAAATAACTTCTGGCATTAGCGCACAGAGGCTGTTTGCCATCCAAGCAGAGCATGAAGCAGATCTGTGTCTGAGGAAATAGATTCCATGTTTGTTTTTAGGGGGCGGAAAAGAAAATATTTAATTTTAATTCTGTTATTCCTGTTAGATGGGGTTGTGCTGAATTTTTTGTGCTGAATTTTACTATGTGGAGGAGCCTTTTGCAGGGAATAATAAGAAATCAAGGAAGATAGAGGTATTTAGTTTTAAAAGTAACAATTCTGAGCTGCTCACCAAGTTAAGAGAATAGGGTAATTCTTGGGGAAGCAGGCTGGAAAGCAAAGTCCAAACAATAATTTAGTTTATAGGTCATGGCTTAAATAACAACTTCTGCAGCTGTGTTGGCATGCATAGAAGAGAAGGAAGAAATGCTGGTTAACTCTGCCCTTTTATTACTATTGTTTGGCTGATTAATATTGCTCTTATGGGAGGATTCAGTTATAATCTAGCTATCCAAAGCAAATGTAATTTTTGTGTAACAGCAAGCAGTTGTACTAGGTTTTTACCAGGGTGAAAGTGTTTGGTATTGAGGGTGGGGTTTTGTACTAAAGCATTGATTAACAAGTTTGCAAGAGGAATTCCTCAGGCCCTTGGCTGCCATGCACTTGGTAACTGCCAATTCCCCCAACTGTTTCTATGCTTATTTTGATACCCAATTTACACTGACAGAGCTTCAAATTCCTGACCTCGAGGAGGATAGAAATGTAATAGTGTAATGTACCTGCCATTCATTTTTTTTTTTTTTTGAGACCTGGATCTGTGCCTGCCACTCTGTCAGGCACAATTAATTTATGACATGAGGTTTGTCTTGTCTAAGTGCCAGGGACAAGAAAGAGGCTCTTCCTGGTAGAGGTATTTGAGCTGTGACGGGTGCAGTTGAGAGCACTGACCTTTCCCATAGCACCTCTGCTGTAATTTTGCACCATATCAACAGTGATGCTGGGGCTTCTCATCTGTATATCTCCAGCTGTTTTGGTTTTTTTTTCTTTTCTTTTTTTTTTTTTGGAGGGGCAGGGTAGGACAGGAGAAAGAGAGAGGAGTGAAATGAGGTGGCAAGATGTTAATCACTGGCATCACAAAGAAACTTTCTTTTAAAAGGGGAGACACGTTGCTATGAATGGTGATGTAAATGTGTAGGTTGGATTAGAGCTTATTGTTTCAGAATTGTAATAATCATTGCAGCACATAGGACTTCAAATACTCCTTTCTCAGGGGTTTTCAGTTTTAACAGGCTAACTTAGGAAGTGGGATGTAATGGTTGTATTTAGTATGACCAAATGCCACAGGCCAGTGGGTCTTCCTGGAAGACACATCTGTATTGCACGGTGCTTTGCTGTCCAAGCACACAGGCTGCTTCATCACAGCAATGCTGGCTCTGTGGTTGTCAGCAGGTGCACTGGGTACAGCGAGATGTCCTTCTCGGGGTACAGGAGTTCTCGAATACAACAGGAAAACCAATCACACACTAGGAATCCTTGTAAAATTGCTTGTACCCCGATCGTACTGTGAGCAGCAGCTATATGTATAAAGCCAGCAAGAGTTTGGTTGAATAGAGGTTATTCTTTTGATCATTGCTTATTTTTATAGTAGAACCTAGAAGTCTGAGGTAAGTTTTTTTGCTCGAGGTATTTTATTCCTGCAGCAGAAGAAATTTTTTCTGCATTAATGTGTTCCTACGCTGAATTATGTTGCAGTGCACATCTGCCTTGTCAGCAATGATCTCCTCTTGCCCTATCCTGTTTCCACTAGGCTGACTGGGTATGGCATACACCACTGTTTTGCAAAAAGCATGATGGGGCATGAAGCGAAGATGGCGATTACCCACAACTTCTATGCGGACTACTACACCATGGCTGGGATCGCGCTGGCATCCTGCCTGGCCATGTGCCCAGTGGTCGGGTTTCTGGGAAGGAGAGGAGGACTCCTGCTTTTCATGATACTTACAGCTCTGGCATCACTTCTGCAGCTGGGCCTTCTCAACTGTAAGTTGGAGATGAGAGCTTTCCAGGACCACACAAGTTTGACATGCAAATAAGGGACCCGGAAATATTAGCATCTCCTTTGCCTTTCCCAGATTTGTCATGTCATACATCTGCATAGTTTAAGAAGCTGGATTTGTTTGAAGGTTTCCCCAAACACCTGTTGTCTTAGGCTCATGAACAAAAGGCATTGTGTTCTGGATGATTCCCCTGGTGAAACTCATTGGGCATTGATGCTTCATTAGGGTTGTCACTTAAAAGCAAGCAAGGAAATAAAAAACGTTTTTTATTTTATCCTAGTGAAATAGCCTCCAGGGAAAGAGCTGGGTAGGGATTGGGAAGGGAAAACTTCCCCAGTTGAGTCTACTTCTTAAATGGCTGCTAAACCAAACAGAAGTTAGACCGGTAGGTATATGTCCTCTGCCTATTCTGAGCATCTTTCTATGAGTAAGTAATATACAGGTAGCATGGAAATTATGTCGCTGAAAGACCCTAATTTTAACACAGTGTGTATGTATAGTTCATGTGAATGTATACACATAATTTTGAGAGGTGACACAGCTTTTCAGATGGGTTGTTCCTCTCAAAAGCAAGTGTCTCACCTCTTCCTTTGCAGGCAGTAACCTTTGTCTGGCCCTTTTGAGCTGGTTCAGCTATTAAAACTGCTATAGAAATATTCCCTTTCCTTTTTGATTTTATTTTCTTGTCTTCATTTATTGTTAGTTGAGAAGGTTGAACTTGATGAATCAGAGAGGTGCCGAAGCAGAGAGAAGGTGCTTTGTCACTCTCACAGCCGCCAAACATTAGACCCCTGTCCCATGAAACCCCACCCCAAGAAAGGGGGAAGAGGGTTGAGACATGCTTTGGACAAACTGTTTGTGAGACAAACACCAGAACACTGGTTATTGCTGTTTTTCATTTCTAAGTTTAGAAATAATTGAGGGCTTTAATTAGAGCTTTTTGCATTGAGGATGGAAAGTTTTCACATTCCCGCATACTGAAGGCAGCTCCAAGCTAGCAAGAATTGTCCATATTTACAGACTGTGTTTCCTGAAGGCATTTACTAAGTTAACCTTTAGCAAACACACTATTTGTGGGAGTGTAGGAGGGAAACAGGGTACCTCTTTCATGACATGGGTGAAACTCCAGCATCGCATGTGTTTGCTCCCAGCTTGGCACAGATGTTTACATTCCCCTTGAGCAGATATTTACCATGTGCAGCAATCCCAACTGAAAGTGGGAGAAGTCCCCTGGCCCCACCTCATCACCAGTCTGTAGATGGACTGTCACTGCTCACATGCAGGTTCACACTGTGCATGTCTGCAATCTCCCAAAACTCCAAGTTCTTCTGGTGGTGTCCATCAGGGTCTCTCTACACTAAATTCATCCCATTTCTTTTTTTTTTTTTTAAGGATGTCAGATGTTTGTTTGAGGCTGTTGAGGTAATAAATATGCAGTTGCTTAGCTGAAAGTATGTCAAAGCTGTTAATCTGCTCTAGAGCCATGAAAATCTGGTTGCAGTTTTTCAACAAAAAAAAATAGTGAGGGAAGTGGGGAGGAATACCCTGTAGGAATCCTGACAACTTTTTTCATAGTGGTGGTTTTGTGAGCAAAGTTGCTAAAATTAAGAGCAGGCATGGGCTCTAGGTGTGTTGGTACTCTCAGCGCAGTGCACCCATCAGCCTTCCCCACTCTACCCTCACCTCCTTATTTGTGAGAAGAGGAAGGAAAGGCAGCCTTGAACTTAAGAGCAGCTCAAGTCCCCCCAGTCTAGATCATACCCCCTTCTTCCTCAGAAGAGCTAGACAGTGTTTGGAGAGAAGCAGTGACCCTGCTGCCACAGCATCCTGCATGTTTTAGCTTAGCATAATTTGGGTGTAATTGGCAAATGAAATTAGAATTTGAGAACGGTGAGAGAGAGGGATATTCTTCACCAGCCACAAACCTGCAGCAGACCTTGGGGCTTGGCATGCTTGGCCCTTCCTCTGAACTCTGGGGTGTCACCTGGGAAGTCTCAGAAGCCCAGAGGGAGATGAGCAGCAGCCCTATGGCCAGCTTGTGCTGCTGCCCTTCCCCTTGCTGCCCAGTACTGCTGTGTGCTCCTGTGTGGTTAGGATACGTGGCAGTTGGTGGCTAGGGTGACACATGGACCATCCGCTCGGGGTTTTGGTGAAAAATAAGTCTCCCACCAGCCTGACGGTTCTGATGCCCAGACTCTTTAATCTCTAAAGCTTCTGTTGGCCATTCCTTCGGGGCTGCAGCAGGAGGGCATTTTTTCTTCTCCTCCTTCATTAAGAGGGGGAGAACACAAAGAGGCCTTTGTGTTAATCCCAGTGGTAATTCTGGGGCTCTTAAATATGCTTTACTGCTGGTTTGTTATCACTGTCTCATTAGCATGCTGTCCTCCAGCTGAAATGTGCCTGGAAACAGCATGTCCTATCTGGTGGCCAGGGAAAGATGTGCCAGTTGTGGCATGGGAAAAAATTGTGGGAGGGGATAGGGTGGCATGTGGGATTTACCATTTTTTTTTCTTTTCCTTTGGATAAATATATATGTAAAAACAGTACGTTCTTGTTTTTTCTCCTTTTCTCTCTTATTTTTATCTTACTCTGACTTCCGTGGTCTTGGATCCAGTGATCGGAAAATACAGTCAACTTCCAGACTCAGGTATGGTTTACAGACAAATCTGCATTATGCTGGAAACACTCCCCCAGGAGCAGGTAGATCCGAAAGGCCTGAGCCAAAGCACCCAGAGCAGAGCTACTGCCACAGAGGGTTGCAGGGGGAAAGCCCACTTCACTTCCACACAGTGCCTTGAGACCCCACTCATAGGCAGGTCCGCTCATTTATATGCAGTCTTTTGGTGTAGCATCCCCTCCGCATAGTCTGTCTTGCCTCTGCATGTCAAGAGAGGGTGCAGAGGTTTATTTTCAGATACACGGTAAGACTTTCTCAGAAAACCTCCTCCTGAGAAGCAACATTCCCAGTTCAGGAATCTCGGTTCTTTTTTTTCCAGAAAGATCTGAGACGACCAAGTCACTTCTCATAAGGGGACTTAAACACCTTCAAAAATACTTTCCCAGGCACCTTATACCAGGCTGAAGTACTGTAATAGCAATGCAATGACAGGCTACAGGGGAACAAAATTTACCCTTCTGTATTAGATTTAACAGACCTGTCCTTGCCTAGCTTTTCCAAGGTCTGTTCTGCTGAGCAGTTATGACTCCCTGAGGGATAAGTGGTGTAGCCTCACCTGCTATGCAAGAGTGGCCAGGGAGCCTCAGAGACCCATATTTTGCAAGGTGCTATGCTCACAACCTTATCTGCTGGCAGTATTTGCTCTCTCTCCCAAACTTGGGGTGCACTGCAGAAAGGGCTTAGCCCTGAGCAGGCTGGAACATGTTTTGGAAGATGTAACCGAAGAGCTCCCAAACACCTTTTGCTCTCCTGACAGCTGATATATTCAGCAAGAGCAAAACCAGCTGTTAATTTTCATTGGATCCAACCCAGAGACTGCACTTGCTTGGGATTACATGTTGATGAACAGTTCTTTCTTCAGGCAGGTCTCGGGATTTGGCTGTAGAAAAGTGGGAGAGCGTTGGCTGCAAAGCTCCAGTCCTTTCCCCAGTGCTCCTTTCAGGCCCAGTGTGTTCCCCTTGTATGGTGCAATAGTCTCGGCAAGTGACATGACCTCCTCTCTGGTCAGGACAGACCACATGAGCTTGTACAACTCTAGATCAGATATCCTGCCCCTGCCCACAGAAGGTAGTGAGCAGGGATCAAGGGTGAGATGTACTATCATCGTGACCAGAAGACAGTTTCCTTTAGCTTTGTTTAAATTTATTGGGGTTTCTCCCTGTCCTTGATCTACACTATTCACCCCGGAAGCCTTGCTGCCATCCAGCCATGAAATGATTGCGCAAACAGCCTTGACTTCAGGGAGTGCTTTACTGTCCTTGGCATCAGCTGTTCTCATCCAGAGTTGTAGGGCAAGGCTGTAAAGCTGGGAGTTATGACAGAGTTTGCAGACTGATCAAATGCAGGGGCTTAGCACAGAGATTGGGAGCACTTTTATTTCTTTCCCCTCTTGCCCTGCAATGGGAGGGAAGCAGCTGGTGCCTAAAAGACTGCCCAAAGATGTGTTTTTTTCTTGGGTTTTACCTTTTTTGTGGCAGCCAAGCATAAAAAATTTGGAGATTGCTGCCATTTTTGGCATGACATTATGATTTTTTTCATGTATGTTCATGTCTCGGCTGCTTGGGGAATGGATGCTATAAATACCAGTTTTAAATTAGTATTACAAAATAACTCATATTCTTGTCTAGGGAGATGAGTAACATAAACCATAAACCTCTTGTTTTTTTTCCTTGTAAGTTTGGCCTCATTCTTACTTTTTATGAACACTCTTGTCTTGTCAGGTATGAGTGACAGCGTCAAAGACAAATTCTCTGTTGCATTTTCCATCGTGGGTATGTTTTCTTCGCATGCTGTTGGAAGCCTCAGCGTGTTCTTCTGTGCTGAAATCACACCCACGGTAATCAGGTAAGACATTGGCCCTGAGCTCAAAAGATGGGAACAGAATTATGCTCATTAAACTGTAAGGGCCTGTGTAACTTAACATATTGTATGGGAGGGGAAACGCCATGTAATTGGAGACCTCAGCAATTTTGGAGCTGCTCTTTAGGGTCACTGCAGTCAGTCTGCCTGGGTAAATGTGTGCCTGTGTACAGAGAGGCTTTGTTTCCCGTGGCTCCACCTTGTGTCCCGTCGTGGTGATGTTCAACGGGCGAGACAGCAGTGTGTTAGGGTCTTAAATACTCAGCTGAACCAGATTGTGTGGTTGAATGTTGTCATTGCTTCACTTACTCTGCGGATTTATATAAGCAGTGACCAGGTGAGTTTACAGCATGATATTAAAGGAGAAATTCCATGAGTGTGCAGAGGAGGACATAGGTGCCAGCAGTCCCCTGTCCCCATAGAACAGGTTAACCAGGCCAGCTGTAGGGGTGCTTCCGTGGAAGGCAGGTGTTGAAGTATATGGTGTTAAATGCTTTTGGTGTGTAAAGGTGCTCTGCAAGCCTTCCTCTCCTACAGCAGCACCCCTGTTAGTGGTCTGCCTTTACTGAAGGTAAAGTCACCTTTTTCTTTGCACACAGATCTATCTTAGCAGAGACTCAAAGTTTTTCTAAAGAGGAGCGCTTTCATCCTGGGAAATAGTAGAAATCACAAAGATGATCTTTGTTGGAGAATTTCCCATAACATATCTTTGCATAGTCAGGGGTTTGTACCATTTTATATGTTTGCTGTTATCTTTCACAAAGGTTGTGCTTTTGTGTTCTGGATATGCTTTTAGCAATGCCACAGCAGTTCAGGAGTCCTCCCTGACTCCATTGAATTTCCCAGGAATGTAGGTCATATGTGTGGGAGGGAGAGAAAGTGGAGGAAAGAGCATACTCTTTTTTTTTTTCCCCCTCCAAATTACATGCCTTTTGCACTTTGCAAAAGTGTTACTGCAGAACTGTTAGCTGAGTAGCTAGAGTCTCCTTGATCCATGGCCTTTTCTTCCAAGCTATCTCAATTTGTGAATGTATTTTACAGATAACATTATTTCCACAGGGAAAGGCAGTGTGAGCAGTGAGATTATACAGCAACCCAAAACACTAACAGCTATTTATTTATGTGCATGTCAGTCAATTTGGTGGTTTTATGCCTCTTTAATTTTCTCCTTGTCTCTGTTTGAAAGAAACATAGATAAGGAATTGAGTATGTCAGACAGAAGAGAATCTGCCAAGTAGGGTCAGATGTGCAGTGTGAACTTAGCAAGATTTTTTTCCTTGAGTTACTTATGTTGCTCCAGGGAAGGGGAAAAAGTCCTGGCTGGGAGCTGATATTCTGCTTCCCTTGACTCTGCTGAGTGACACCAGACGAGTGACAATAGCTGGATATGCCTCAGGGTCCCTGTTTATTTATAGGGATGATGACACTGCAGCGCTTTGCGGTCCTACCACCGCAATAAGATCCACTCACAGCTGTAATTAGGAGATGTAGCTCAGGATGGTGCATAAACCTGTCTTGGGCAGAGGTGTCATTCAGCTGCCTTCTGTCTTGCATTTTGGTGGGATCTCGCTGCTCCCTCATAACCTACTCTCCAAAATACTGCCTTGGATGCCCTTTATGGATTGGAACTAGATGATCTTTATGGTTCCTTCCAATCCAAACCATTCCATGACATTAATATGCTTTTGGTTGAATCTCAAGGAACCTTAAGCAAAAAGGGAGGCAAAGAGAACACTGGGGTTGTCTCAAGGGTTTCCCTAATCAAATTCTTTACCTGTAATCCCCCACCCCTGAGGGTGGAAAACAGCACTGTCGTTACCTGAGGTAGTGGTGGCATAATAGCAAACTCATAGCACCCATCCATATCTGCTGCTGTAGTGTTGACATGAACAGTTACAGTAGTAGAGGAGGAAAACAGCCATATTCATCACCAAGAGGTGCCATCTGCTCCAGCAACATGAAGGTTTCATGCTGTCATGTGGCACGGAGGGGTCCTTCATACCCTTGCACTGCATCCTGGTCTCCTGGCAGTAGGCAGGAGGGCTTCACCAGGAGCTGCCCTTTTTTGTACCAGGGGCTACAGTGTGGAGCTCCATCCAGATGCTGAATTAAAGCACTGAGTGGCACTGATAATCCATCTAATAATCTTGACACAACTGCAGTCTGCACAGCTACTAAATAGAAATAGGCTGAGGAAAACACAGTGTCCCCTCTCCTCATCCTCCACATGCTCAGTTACTATGAAGTTGAAGAGAGATCTGTTTCTTTCTGTCAGTGTCCTGCTTTTGTATTCACTTTGCTAAAGAAATGAAGAGTGGGCAGTGATGGCCGAATCAGGAGTTTTACCAATCAATAGTTACCTGAAATCAAATTTCCAGTTGTTAAAGAAACTTTCCTGTCTGACCATCCAGGAGTCACTCAGCAGTCACACTTTCACAAAGGGTCCACACCACTGCACGGCCTCTTGTCTTGGGATCCTGCCCCCTAGAGCTCAATCTGCAGCTCACAAAGCAGCTCGCACACCCGGCTACCTGCACTGAGTGTGTTCCTCAGCACAGTGGGGTGCCGGGCTGTTTACTGGCACCTGAACCAGGCCTGGCCTTACTCAATGAGGCCAAGGGCATCCTGATGTATTACTGAAGCTCTGGCGTAGGACTGAGTGCACACAAAGTCACTTATGTATGGGCAGGGAAAAACTGTGGAGGTTTTCAGGGACTGACTTCAAGAAGTGGCCAAGCTGACTCAGCAAAGCCCAGAAAACCTGGTCCAATTTCAGAGTTGGCCTTGCTTTGTGCAGGAGGCTGGAGCAGATGCTCTCCCAAAGTCTTCTTTAGCCTGGGCAGCAATCTGGCTCTTTTGTACTCTGAGCCATGCCATGTGTTGACCCATTTGCTCAATGCAGACAAATGGCCATCTGAAGACAGGATTAATATTTCTCTGCTCTCCTGAGGAATGCTGGGAAGGGCAAAGCCCTTTCCTTAGAATGTCAGTGAGGATGTTTTGCTGCTCCCTGAAAAAATACTGCAGTAACAAGCAAGGAACTTCCCCCCTCCATGAACAAGCAGGACCTTTCTGAGGATGAAATTTTGGACCAAGGTCCCTTTGCGATTTGCCCTTGTCAGGACCATAAACTTCATACTGAGGTTTATGTACAAACCATCCCTCCCTTCTGCCAGTGGCTGAGCAGAGGTTGAAGAAGCGGTTCTGGTCTATCATCCATGGAGCCGTGCCATGGGAAAGCCCCCCACAGCAGCCACTGGCAGGCAGAGGTGTGAGGGGGGAAGCTGGGGCTCACCATGGATACCAGGAGCCCTCACACTCCCTCTGCAGGCTCCACTTTGAGAGTGTTTGAAGTACAGTAGCTGGCCCCTGCCATGGAAGACCTCAAGCTGAGGAGGAGTAATGTCCCAAAACACTCAAAATGTTTTTGCTTTCCACCTGCTGCCCATGTCACCTGCAAAAACAGTATGAAATATGAGGGCGCTGCCTCTCTTGTCTTGTAGCTGTTTTCCTGATGTGCACAGAAAGAACAAAAAATTCCTGACAGTATTTTCAGTTTTCTCTTTTTTTTTTTCCTTCACATTTTCATGCTTGCAATGTAGTCAAACCTTAAAGAAACCCCTTCTAAGACATGTACCAAAATGTACTTTCAAGCCGCCTTCTGCCAGGTTTTGATGGCACTGGATAAAGTAAAGCCTTCTGTAATTAATGACATCATATGGAAAAACACTTTTCTCCCCCCCCAAATCTGAAGCCACTTGACCCATAAATGACAGAGCTGTCTTTGTTGTTGCCTTTTTCCATTTTCTTTCAGTTTGCTTGATGTCCTTCTACAGCAGCTTTTAAAACTCACCTCAGGTCCTTCTCAGGGGGGCTGAGATACAATTCAGCTGTAGCAAACACTGATGTAAATGAGCTGGGCTTTTGTATCCTGAGAACCAGCTTGGAGTGAGATTTGCCATGCATTTGGAACTGGTTGTGTCGGTTACTCATGTGAGTGTATAAATGAAGTTGCAGGGAGGCCAGTTGCACAATAGTCGCATTCAGCTGGGTTTCTAAATTGCCACTGGAAAGCTGGCAAGTTTTTAATAAGGGCTTTTGCAGTATTTGGGGAAGTTGCTGTTGTCTGTGAAAGATGCTCTGCTGAGTCTGGAGAACTGGAACATACATGCGTGAATTTTTGACCCAGTCGATGTCCCAAGAGTGTCTTTTGAAACCTATGCTTGCTGCCCTTCAGCTGTCAAGTAAGCAGCAGTGGATTTTGGAAAGGATTGAGTGAAGATTAGCTTTAACATGATGGCTGGCCGAGTGAATTTGGCATTTGTAGGTTTATGGTACTGTGATTTCTACTATGGTTAAGTCAATGAAACTGATTTTTTTCCCAATTATTTGACATAAAGCAGTCCATTTGCCTTTTGCAGTCATCTGCTATAAGGGCCAGTTATTGTTAATAATTACAGCTCTGCATTGGGCCAGAAACTGAAGCATCTGAGCCCCTCTGATCTCCAGAGGGTTTGGGAGTTGATAGCATATCCCAGAGGAACTGCAGGAAACATACTGCCCGCACAGGCTTCTTAAGGAAACAGGGTGCCAATGATGAAGCTCACAGGGAAACCTCCCTCTGCAGGCGGCAGGGTCTTTGGAAAGTGAAGGACAAGCTGCCAGTCTCACAGATTTTGTTAGAATGAGTCACTTAAGGGTGACACTCTGCTGGCTGGAGACCTCAGTTGTGCCACAGCAGGAGGAGGGAATGGCCTGCCCCACAGAAACACCTGCAGTGCTGCTTTTGTGTGGGGTCATCCAACAGAGACAGACCCAGGAGCATGAGCTGTGCCTCAACATAAGATGTGCCAGTTCTGTCCACACTAGGGCCTGGAGAGAGATGCTGATGAGCAAGATGAGGAATTGCAAGAGAGGTTGCTTGCATCAGGAGAGAACACTGAACTGGGCTTGCACAAGCAGCTTCTGTGCTTGTAACTGGAGGAAGATGAGTCTATTTTCACACTTTTTTTCTGAAAATTATGTATTTTATTACAACATCAATGTGTTGAAAAGTTCCAGCCACAACATGTTTTTGTGTAGAAAATATTTCAGCATTCAGTGTTTGGTATAAAGGATCGAGGCAGTGGCTTGTTAAGTCTAATCTCCTGCCTCCACTGCTGAATGATGCCAGGTACCTTAGAGGCAGCCAAAATTGACTTCTGCACCTACTGCTTCTTGGTGTGCCTTGTCTAAGTAGAGAGAAGGCTGGCATGCTAAGCAAAATGTGGTTTTCCCTGACTAAATATGGGAATACTTGGAGTTGAGAATACTTTAGAGGGCTGTCTACACACTCAGATGATAAAGCTCCTCCTCTTCTTATATGGGGGCAGTTAAATGGCTGTGAAATGATACATATTTCCCCACACTGAGGCAAATAAGCAGCAATTATCTACAACAGCAAAGCAACTCCCTGCTGGAGTGACTGTGCGGTGTGAAAGCTCGGAACAAACCAGGTTTGCCTTCAAGACTTCGGATACCCTGGGTGCATGCCAGACAGAGGGTTAGTCTGGAGGACCTGTCAGGTCTGTGGGCTCCCCACCCCAGTGCCAGTGGGGCTAGGCTCTCATCTCTGCCTATGTTTGCAGGGGAGGCGGATTGGGGCTGGTCCTGGCCAGTGCGGGTTTCGGCCGCCTGACCGCCCCCATCATGGAGCTCCACAACCAGAAAGGCTACTTCCTCCACCATGTCATCTTCGCCTGCTGCACTCTCATCTGCATCATCTGCATCCTGCTGCTGCCAGAGAGCAAGAACCAGAACCTGCCCGAGAACATCCCAGATGGGGAACATTACACCCGGCAGCCCCTCCTGCCGCACAAGAAGGGGGAGCAGCCCCTGCTCCTGACAAACTCTGAACTCAAGGATTACTCTGGCCTCCATGACTCAGCAGCTGTGAGTGACGGGATCCCGGAGAACACCACTGCCAACGGGATGAAGTCAATGTAACTGGGTGGATTTTTTTTCCATTTCTTTTTTTTTATTGTTTTATTTTTCCCTTCTATTTCTTCTCTTTCTTTTGTATTTTATTTTATGCTGTTGTGCGGGAGGAGTAGCACTTTGGGCAAAGGTGTTTTGCACAGATTTTACAAACCAGTGATGGAGCAGACACTAACTTGGAGGAATTCAACTCTGCTACTAAAGCAAATTTTGGCATCTTCAACTGTTGTGCAGATTGCTCTTGAAAAAGTTTTGGGGGAAAAGACTCATTTGAAAAAAGACCTGGCTGGCAGTAGCCCTTCAGAACTCTTTTTTTCCTGCCATTAAATATGTATATTTATTTTGATTTATTCTCAAGAAGCACTTTATTTCCTTTTCCTTTCATAGATCACAAAAATGAAGCCATCTTATTATAAGAGGTGCAGCCATTCCAAGAAAGAAACCATGGGGGGAGGGGAGTGTTGTTTTCTGTTTTGTTTTCGTGTTTCTTTAAAGGAAAGAGGGATCAACCACAAAGTTGAATCGACTTAAATTTAGACTTGTGCAACATTCTTCTGCCTGTCTAGAAAGTCCAAGTGCCCAAGTTGCCTGCTGTGTTTGTATACACAAAAAAAAAAAAAAAAGAAGACAAAAACAAAGCAAAACCTGTTGTGACTCAAACTCTGACTGCGTTTTAGGCAGCTTATGTTTGTCTTTATAGCCCATGTGCACTTAAAAGTTACTTTCAAAATTAGTCCTTTTTTTTTTTCACCAAATGCATTGAAGAAAATCCTACCCAAACAAGCTGATTTTTCAATGTGAATCAGTTTGCTGCATTTTAAGAGTATATTAGTCTATTTTAGGTGGTTCCCAGTGGTCTTTAATAGTAACATAGATGATGCAAATAATTTGACTAATGATGCAAAAATTAGTTTTGCTGAGAATGGCTTTAATTATCAGGAGGCCCAGGATTTCTGACTTCTCCAGGAGAAGAGCATGAACCAGCAGGGATAAACAGTAAGGAGCATGGGCTACCATCTATACTTTTATTCCAAAAGGCAGCACAGCTAGGATTTCTGCTCCTGGGAAATGAGTGTCCTGGCATTGTGTTACCTGTTTTTAGAACCAGGGTTTGGGTTTTCAATTTAAGCGGACAAACTGCTTAAATGACTGTTGGAAATGAATTAATTGATAGGCTGTGAATAATGTCTTACTGAGCTGTCTTGGGCCCTTAGAGATGTTTTCAGGTTCTGACCCAAGAATATACAGTGAACTCACCCAGATTTCCTCCTTCCCCAACTGCTCTTATAAGATTTTAGATCATGAAAAAAGTTTACTTAAATTAGATCAGTGCTACACAAAGTGAACATCCAGTTTACCTCTTACTGTGCAGATGGCACTTTGATGGTGGCCACTTGACTTCTCCAGCCCCCAAATGAACTATTTCCTTTGGCCATCGGCTTTTGGTTCTCACACAAGAGAATATCGTGAGGACCTAGTTCAGTGCAAGGACTCTGTAAACAGCTTTCTTGCATTGTAGTTAACCTCCCCACTCTCCCTCCCTCTTCTCCTTTCTCACTCAGGCCATCCATTTGTGATTGCTTGGTAGTGCAGACGTTCAAACAGAGCAGCAGGATGTCAATGTTGTATTGAGTGTCTGTATGATTGCCACTTTGTTTGATGTACATCTTGCGTTCATATGCATGGAAAGTGCTCATTTGCACTTTCCTCCTCTCCCTTCCCTTCCCCTTCCTCCTTTGCTGTATATATTGTCGATTAACTACTGTACCTAACAATTTCCATCCTCCATTAGGCTGCCAATGTCCTCTTAAAGTCCCCAATAAATCAGAGATATGTGCTTCCCAGTGGGCAATGCAGTAAGTAGCACAGCCTCAGACACCGACAAATGCAAGGGGACAGGCAGACCTGCAGAAGCGACAGAGGTGGTTGTGTTCAGAATAACAATGTTGTCCTAAAGCTGCTAATTTTTACAGAGGATGTGGACATTTGGGTTCTTCTTGAGCCTGGTAAGAAACACTGGACCAGTTGATGGTAGTTTTGCCCAAAGGTACACTACTACTTGGAGTTTTTTTCACCTTTGCTAGACTTGCTGTGACAGCAAGAGCCCAATCTTCCTTACACTCAAGTTTTATTGTCAGACTTGAGTACGGCTGCTTCTTTTTGTTCTGTGCTGAGACCTTTGCAGTCTGTGTTCACCCAGGAACCCAGCCCTTCCCCACTCATGCAGTATTCACGTGCCAAATTTGTGCAATACCTTTTGCCTTTGATGCGAGATGCTTATTGCAAGCCACTCACGTTCAGGGAGGAAAAAATGGGTTCACAACAAAAAATTGAAGAAGCAAAACGAATCTTAAGGGAAGAGAAAAAGGGCTTGAATGCTGAGAAGGTGTGAGCACAGAGGCGGAAAGCAGCTGCCATCCATCATGCCATGGAGCCAGCAGCTCCTTCGTTTGTGGTCTTGTGTGCCTGTATGCTCAAGCTGTGGTACAGCTTTTGTAGACCATCCACAAGCCTTACAAAACTGGCTGCTTCCAGCACTGTCAGCAGTCCTGGTGTGCTCAGCGCTGTTGTCCACAGCACTTTATCGTTTCCTATTCTGGTGGTTGCTCTCCTGGGACAGACAGGCACAGGGAAAAGAATAATTGTTTAAACATAGCAACATTTATATAGTAAAAAAACTAGGTGACAGGAATGTGCAGCAATTTATTTAAAAAAAAAATCTTATGAAATTGATTTGATTTGCTGGTTTTTTGGTTTTTTGCTTGAAACCAGGTAGTCGGTACTGATCTTCTGCAACAAAGGGAGACCTAGCTTCTCTAGTTGGTCTGGCCCTCTGCCTCTGTCACAACAATAAAACAAAAACTAATTTCCTGCCATGGCAGCTCCAGTTTTGCTCCTTTTCCTGAAAACATGAACACTTCTGCGATGATTATTTTCTTCCACACATGCTCACAGAGTTGGAAGGCTTTCACTAAACATATCTTTTGTGGAGGAGTCGGGTACCGGGTGATGCAGCAGGGCAGAAAGGAAGCATGGAATGCTTGCCCTGCCTTTCCTAGTCCTGCAGCAGGACAAGGCTCTTTGCTGGGGTCCCAGCCAGCTGCTCCACTGGCTCCTTGGCTGCATCCCCCCTCCAACCATCACCAAGACAGGCTTTTCTCAGGCGGCTCTTTCTGGCCACCACAACAGGGGAAGCAGTCCAAGCTGTCTTCTCCATTTTGGCCTTTTTCTGTGAACCTTCAGTAACCTCTAAGCCCATCAGTAGATTTTTCTTTGGGTTTACCATTTAAGGGCTTTCTTCCATCTTTGTAAGTTTAAACAAAAATGTGAAGTGACATTATGCTTGATCTTGGGGGGTTTGTCCCCTTTTAAGGTTTCAGTACTGCTTTTGTTGCCAGACACACTGCAAATGGATAACAACAGTCGCCTGTTTGCAAGTGTTCTGTGGCCACTCTGAAAGGGGGTTGTGTGATTGACTTTTTGGTTTCATTGAGCAGGCTTTTTTTGTTGTTGTTCTTTTTAATGGAAGTATTTTACTTAACTGTTGCCACTTCCTGGAGCCAAACACTTTATTGGTCACCAAATTGGAAGCAGAAGTGCCATTAACTGAACTCTGTGAATGTCAAGTCAAGTTGCGCCTGTAGCTGGCACATAAGACAACACTATTAAGTGGGGGGATGATCTCCCTCACTGTAACTTTTTTTAAATTATTTTATTTTGTAAGAAAAAAAAATTACAAACCTCATTTTAAATGTATTGTGTAAAATGTTTCAGGAAAGGAGTACGGTGTGTTTTGTCTAGTGGGTGAGATCTCCCTCCCCATTTCAGTTTCTAATGAAGTTTTAAAGAATCGTGTTACTGTATGTTTTGACCATGAATAGTCTGGTGGTGCTTCCTCATAGCACAAGCTTAAATCAAGTACTGAAAACAGTCTTACAAGCTAAATGTCTGCATGATGTTACATCAGTTGTACCTACTGAGAAGAACTTTGTATGTAAATGTACAGAATAAAATGACATTGTCCCATCAGTTTGCTCTCCTTGGTCTGGCTCCCTCACAGTGACTTCTGAAACACCCAGCAGCAGCTGATGCCTCAGCAAACAGTCCTACCCTCCTTTACAAACAGAATGAGCTGCTTGTAAATCAGACTAATTAAACCAGCAAATTGATTTACAACTAATTATCAACATAGTCCATTACAGAAGAGTGGCTGACTGTTTCCTGAGTGGTGTAAATTAAAAATACCCTCCAACAGTTGCTTTTTCGATTCTGATCCTGAACTGCCGCCAAAGACTGACAGCTGTTCTCACCAGGTGAGGAGGAGCTTTCTGCACCCACATCAAATACATGTTGAAGCCACTGGCTGTTCAAACACTTTTGGACAAGAGACTCAGTAGTAGTTGTGCCTCCTACATCAGTGACCTCTTGGTTACAGTTTTTAATTGCTGATTATGGCACCACAGCAAGGTAAATTCATCAGTTTTCTGCAGGGGGTTAAGATAGTTGTCTAGAAGCAGCACTAGTAAATTTTGTTTGTATCAAAAGCTTATGTTTGAGTCAGGGCTCAACTTGCAATGGCAAAAAAAATAACCTGGTCGTTAACTCCTAGCTGCCCTCTCATTAAACAAACCAGCAGCAGTATACTTTGCAGTGGTGGTCATGGTAGTGGACTGCTCTGATTTTTCTAATGTATATGCTGAATTTCCACATGGTATGCTCTTCTAGCAGCCTGACAGATTTATCTATTGCTCTAGAATTCAAGCTGTGCCTTTTCCTTCTACGTAGTCCTCAGGGATGTACAGATAACACTTTGTGAAACCCTTCTAGTGTTCTTAATGCCCAAGGGACAGAAGGAAATCCACTATTTAGCACTAGTACTGCAACCAACAGGGGCTAAAAGGAGAAAAGTAACACTCATGTCACAGCTTTACAATAAAAAATGTGGGGTTTCTTTATTTGAACACTAAAAGCTGCTCTACTGTGTTCAGTGCTAGTACACAGTAGATTAACTGTACAGATATAATTTGGAACTGATTACCCAGCAGATCCCAGTACTGCATGGAGGCCAGACACTGCATGCATTTCTACAATGATGTTCATCAACTGTAGCATCCATTTGCTATCCTACTTAGCAGGGTAGCAAAAAAAATTTTGCTTTGAAATTTCAAATTCAAATTTTATTTGCAAAAAAATAAATTCCAGGTCCAGTTGTATCTATGTCCATCTATATTTAATAACAACCACAAATGCAATCAAAATAATACAAAACAAATATACTAATTTAATGTCAGTGTGAAAATTTCCATCAGTTTTTCTGAAACAATTCATCTTATTTTACAATGATGCAAAGTCAGAACTTCTCTGGAAAAGCTGTCATTTCTTCTTTGATCCTGTTTTCTATGAGTAAGGTGAAATTGCTGTCTGTGTTTTGAAGATTGTAGCTGACAAATATCTGTTTTTTGGTCTTGCTGGCTAAAATACAAAACAGAGTAGTCAGCCATATTTTTTTCTTATATAAAAGTGATGATAGTATTCAAGAAAGCCTCTTAAAAAGCCATATCGTGCAAATTTCTAAGATGATGTTCTCCACTCCTGCTGTGCTGGCTGCAGTTATTAAGGAACAGCAGTACAATTACCTGACCATTGGCGTGTTGGGCATAATTTTGCACAGCACTGATGTAAACAGTATAAAACTGGTGACTTTCAACTAGTTTTTGGCCTGATGCAAAAAGCCATTAGTCACTGGAAAGCCTTGCAGTGCTTTTAGTGGATTTTTTGGACACTTCTTAAATATACAATTTTAAGTGAAATTACAGACTGTACTGGAGTCAGCACTGAAATAAAGTTTATGAGTTGGTAAGTCTATGCTGTGTAAAACATTGAGGGAAAGTGCACAAAAAATTGACTGAGCCCAAGTTAACCAAGTTCTGTTTTATTATGAACCCCTTAAAAGGCCCCAAATAGTATGTCTAAGCCTGCTGTCAATAATTTTGTTTCCTTTAGCCTTTGTTCATACAGTGTCCATGATCACTCCATGAGACTGAACAGCCTCAGCTGAGTGTCATGCAGCCAAACACGAAGTTCCAGGCTACCATAATGACAAGTACTTGGAGAGAAGTGCCACAAAATTAAGAGCTGCTTTCCATGAAAGAGCTAATTAACAACGAAAAAAAAAAAAAAAAGCAAAACTGTCCACTGGGGCAGGAAGACTTAGTTATCAAAATAGAAGAGAACACCAAGAAGTGTTTTATAAAAAAAATGGACTCCTACTTAGATTTTACCACAGTAATATAGCAAATTTTTGACTCTGTTCTTATATTACTAAAGCTAAACTTTGTGAAAGTTTAAGCACCATACAGGAAAAACAGGCACTAAATTTAAATTAGTTGTGTAAAATAGAAGACAAAAACCAGTATTTGGGTCATGAGATATTCTTTTCAGGGAATGAGCTGGGAGCTGATGATCCTAGAGACAAATCAGACTGTTCTGCCTGAATATTCAAAAACATAATCTGAATTTTTTAAACTTGAAAATAGAAACACCAGGACTCCTAATATCTTGATCCTTTCTAAATAGGAAAGTTAACTACAGAAAAGATAGATATATATGTGTGTGTATAAAATGTAGTTAAACAATTCCTTTGAGGCATTTTCATTATGCAAATCAATTTATTATTATTTTTCTATTCTAACAGGTTACCAGCTTCCTGTCTCAGAAAGTAGAGCTGCTTCTGAAATGCAAGGACTAGTTTGCCTTTTAAGACTTGGCACTACAAAATGCTGATATAATGCAGTGTGTTGCTCTGATTGCAAAAATTACCACCTGGCACTAGATTTCTGTGGTATAAAGCAGCATGTTCTGTAAGTGCTAGTGCTTCATCATCGTGACCTAAATGAATGCAATGCTAATTCTGAACTAATTAATGCCATTATCCTACCTAACAAAACTATATAGTACACTGCAGTGTCAAAACTCAACTTCTTAATTATGTTTGCCTACGGTCCAATAGCGTCTCTGGGATGCTGTTCCAGATCCTGGGAACACTGTGAATCCCTTAGGGTCACCTCTGCCAAGGACCTCTGCTCCTACCACTGGCTCTGAGGGGCAGCAGGACCTTTTCTGTCCCTGATTCGTGTGGATTAGGTTGGACACGTGTACTCTCGTGGGAAGGATAGAAGAGGAAAGATCTTATGGCTCCATGGAAGCCCATCTGCAACCTCAGAGTAAAGCCAAAAACTGTAAAGGACAAGGCTTACCTAAAAAGCCCTCCAGTAGGTCTGCTTCCCATGCACCCTGGTTAATAACCCCTGTTGCACCAGCTCTTCAAAGGGAAGGAAAAAATTCCTCAGCAGCCATTGTCTGGGACACACTGAGTGCCAGGAGAAACTGTAGCAGCACAGACCCACTCCTGCAACCCCATGTACAGGGCAAAGGCCCAAATCTAAGCTTGAAGAGAAGCTCAGTGGGAGCAGAACAGACAGGACAAGTGTTGGCCATAAGTTTGTAGACTGTGCTGGAAAAGAAGTGGTGGAAGGGAACTATGCCTGGATGATAAATACTCAGAGAGTTGAGGTGATCTTCACCAAGAGCCTGCCAGTCCCTACAGAGGGAAGTTGAAGATATGGCACTAATCAGTAGTCACTTCAGCCCAAAGCACTGTGATTTCAGGGTATGCAGGTAAGGGAGGCACCAATGGACAAGTCGTCCTTAAGAATTGGCCACCACTAACCTACAGGAAGCAATCTTTTAGGATTTGGGTTTCTTGACTAGTGAGACACATCTGGTGCCAAAGCAATTGGGCAGGATGGTGAGAAACAGTCCCTGCACCTCATAGAAGCAGATATAGATAAAAATATGTAGAAAGAGAAGTAGGAATGAGGCGTGTGTGTCTTTAGCAATAGAAAATTTTAAAACAAAAATCAGAAATAAGGAAGAAGATAGAGCCAATACACCAAATGCAGCTGTTGTGGCTAGGACCCCTACCAGGCTATAAAGAAAACAAAAAGGAGAATGTGTACACTGATGCATAGCTGCACTGAAACTCCTCCTCCAGGGAAGGAAACCTGACATTGCAGGAACACGCAGTAGATGATGGAATGCAACTGGCAAGTATAAGAAATGAAAATAGTTACGTGCAAATGGCATTGAATGCTGCTTCACTGAGAGCCTGTGAAGAAGACCAGAATGGAAACTACATAGAAAAAAAATGGTGACAAGCATGGGGGGGTGGTAGGGTTAGGAGGAGAGGGATACTGCCTACCTGAAGATTACCACATGGCAGGATGGTTAAAAAACTACCTTGGAAGTACAGCTACAAGTCAGACTTGACCGTGAATATCATCTCTGTTATTACAGAATTTGTGGAAGAAACAAGGGTTTAATCTCCCAGATAAAAACAACACCAGTGACAGCAAAGCTTGCTATTTTTAGCTGAGGTGAAAAACAAATTTTCTTACCAAGCACTTCGTGAAACAAAGATACAGCAGGGATGCTTTGTTGATCCACTGGTTTCAGGAGAATAAATAATAGTTTTGGACTAAATGCCCATGAGTTCACTTAAATTGCTGGACTGACAAAAGCCAGCCAAAATCCTGAGATGTAGGATTTCAGAAAGATGTATTTCTTTTTTCAGGTAAAAAGGAAACATATGATTATTCAAAGCAAGAAGTGTATTATTGACTTTCCCCTTCGAACCAAGGGTGAAAAAGGTCTACAGGCCTTCCTCAATACAGCATACCTTAAGCAGGATCACACAAGCAAGAACAGTATCTGTAAGGAAATCTGCAACCCAGCAGATAAATGGCATAGAGAGGAACATTGATCAAAAGCCTAGCTGGGCCACAGCTGGTACAGCAAGTTTAAGATGAAATAACAAAAGACACTTAAGGCACACAAACAAAAAGAAAATAGGAAGGTGCCTTACACTCCAAGGATAAATAGTAACCTATAGCCCAGTACCAAGCAAAAGTATCAGTTCTCAGTAACAAAGTATGGGAAATTAGCAATCGAAATAATAAAAGCACCTTAAGGAAAAAAAGGGAAAAAAAGGTTAAAAAAATAAGGGGAAAAAGGCAGCAAAACTGAAACTACTCACTGGGCAAAAAATCAGGTTACTCAGCCTCTGTCCTAGAGCACTGAAAGAACTAATGTAAGAAATGGCAAGTTATTACAAACTTTAGCTATGAAATCTGTAATAAATCTTTTAAGAGTGAAGAGAGCAACCACACGTCCAAAAAAAAGACAGGAGAGAGTGGGAATCACAGAGACAACTTAGAACTGTCAGCTGGGCTCCAATGCTACACAGAAATTTAGAGCAAGATCAGAAGAAATTCACAGAATCACAGAATAAGCCGGGTTAGAAAAGACCTCCAAGATCAAGTCCAACCCTTGATCCACTACTGCCATGGTTACTATACCATGGCACTAAGTGCCACATCCAGTCTCATCTTAAAAAACTCCAGGGACAGAGAATCCACCACTCCCTGTGCAGCCCATTCCAATCCCTGATTACCCTCTCTGTAAAGAATTTCTTCCTAATATCCAACCTAAACCTCCCCTGGCAGAGCTTAAGACCATGCCCTCTTGTCTTACTGAGAGCTGCCTGGGAGAAGAGACCAACCCCCACATGGCTACAACCTCCTTTCAGGTAGTTGTAGAGAGTGATGATGTTTCCCCTGAGTCTCCTCTTTTCCAGGCTAAACAACCCCAGCTCTCTCAGCCTCTCCTCATAGGCCTTGTGTTCAAGTCCCTTCACCAGCCTTGTTGCTCTTGTCTGGACCTGCTCCAGCACCTGCTGGAGCATTAGTGACAAAGAGATCAAATGGAAAGTAGAATAAACTATTACACTTTATCCAAAGTAAATCCTCTCTGACTACATTTTTACTAACTGACTTGTTAAGGATAAGGCACTAATTACATAGAAAGAAATCATGTTATACCATACCCCATAAAATTATTACTTGAAGTAGAAATGATTGAACCCAGTGCGTAGAGAAAATGGTGCCAGCAGGGTAGACTAAAACAGTATTTATTAAAGGAGAAGGTATTGGAAAGAAGAAAAGACACTAGTACGGTTTTTCAAAGATCTTGTGAGCAATCTTTTTTTATATGTGCATTAGTGGCCATAGAGGAGAAGAAGGTGGAGACTCATGGAAGTGCCTGATGATACAAACTCTGGACACACTACCTGAAATGGAGATCAGCACACAGATCATTAATAATTCTGTGGCCTTTCCAACTGAAACATTAGAAGTAAGGTAAGGTTGTGCAGCTCAGCATGTTGCTTTTAAAACCTGGTAACAAGTACATCAGCCGTTCACCAGCTGGAGCTGCATCAGCTACTGGTAGGCGATGAGTAACCACCAGGATGCAGCTGTCAGAGCTGTGAAGGTGCTAGGATGCATAAGGCCACGTATTTTTATATTTTTTAGTACAGTAACAGGAGTTTGAAAGTTATCACTAAGACTCAGGCATTGGAAACATGATGGAAAAGGAGACATCCTGAGCACTGCTCATTAGGATCAGTCAGATTAAGCATGGGCACCTGTGAGATGACCCTGGACTTCCCAGGCCAGAACTTCTCAGCATGTGGGGGCTAAAGGTGCAAGATCGGATAGGGTTTGGCTTCATCTTCAGGGAAAGTGCATGTGCCTTGTATGATGGCCACCTCACCCACAGCACACCAGTGTCACGGGTTTATCATCATCATCAAATTATTTGGGTTGGAAGGGGACCATGAAGATCATCTAGTTCCAAGCCCTCTGCCATGGGCAGGGACATCTTTCACTAGACCAGGTTGCTCAAAGCCCCATCCAACCTGGCCTAGAACACTTGCACGGATAGGCCATCCACAACTTCCCTGTTCCAGTGCCTCACCACTCTCACAGTAAAGAATTCTTCCTAATACCTAGTCTAAACCTACTCTCTTTTAAT